TATAAAAAAATAACTTTATAAATGCGTAAAGTATCATTTTTTATTTTTGTAATGATCAACATTTGAAGGATGATGGATGGTGCAGCATAGCATGGTTGGTGAAAGTGATATGTTATGAAAAGACTGGAGGAACAGAAACAGGATGCCACGCTCTTCTTGTCGCGTGAAGCTACCAACAACATGTTACAATCCAACTACTCAGATACCACTCACTACCAACTCCATTGAATAAAAAACCATCATCGTGGGGGACCAATTGGGTTGGTGTGCTTTTATTGATTTGTTTATTTTTAAATTATACTGTGGTTGGTGTAGTGTACGTAAAATCTTAATTTTATTTATTTGTTTGTTATTTTTACTGAAAGTTTTATAATTTTAAATATTTTATATAAATCAAAGGTTTATTAACTTAATAATATTATGGTTATTCAAATTTTTGGTATAGTTTTCATTAAGAAAAAAGGTAATTTAAATTAATATTCCGGATTTTATTTAACTAATGAATTACAGTATTTTAAATGATTAATATTGTCCATATAATGCTAATAAACACTGAATGTTTTAACAATATTTTTTTACATATTAATTACAAAACAATGAAAATGAAAAATTAAAATACAAATAATAAAATTAAAAGTAAGAGGAAAAAAAACTTAAGAATCTATAGTCTGACACATCCATTTATGTGGATATTAACCCTTAGCGGTAAGATGCAGACCAAACTATCCATGGAAGCTAAAATTAAAAATTTGTTGGTCAGTGGTTTAATGAGAATACCATGAAACAAAAGAATGCTAGAAAACAATGGGGACAGGAGAGGAAGAAGCACACTGATTCCATGACTCTCATACCCTTTGAAGTTGGGTCCAGGCATTGCCATATTCATGGTCAAACATGGCAGAACAAAACAAATGCATAGTGGACTATTGAAAGGAAACAAGGAATTAGACAATAAAAAGAGACAACATATTTTCTCCCATGAATTTTTCTTTCATCTTCATAACCTCCTCACTACCTTTTGCGGCATTTTGCCAAAAAGACATAAAAAAAGGGAGAGACGACAAGACCGATATAGTCTCCATAACTTCTACCTTTTCTTTCCCTACCTTGAATCCATAATACATTTTCTTTCTTACAACTTTCCCTCATTAAGCTAGATAGACCCTCCCTTACTACCGTAAAAATGGTGCCAAAGGATCCCCTTTGTCTCAACTTCACATTCATCAAGATTTCATTAGTCGGATTTGTTGAGTTAAACTTTAATTGAATATGATCTTCATCCTAATGATCAAACATATATCTATAATCTCATACTGTAATCATGTTATATAAACTAAATGCGAAAGCGTACCTGAATTAGCCATAATGATGATATTCTTTGTAGAGCACCTTTGAGTTGATCTTATGGTCTTCCACCTGAAGAGCACCTGTATTTCCCTATGGATTTTCTCTCTTGATGGGGATAGAAAAGAAACAGATCAGATTCAGTATCTGTATTCATGCATGTGCTCTCGAAGGGGACCATGACCCTTTATATAACCAAAATTAGGTTAATTACTTAAGTTTTAGTATTTTCAATTTGGCCCCTCATCAAATTAAAAATTACTCTATGGTCTCTACACAATTATATTTTCATGACATATGTCTTTAGCCAAAACTTTAATTTATTAAGATCACTTTATTATTTGGCTTAATAAATAATGACCCTAACACATTTAAATATGTATCATATATATACGTGACCCAAATTTTGCTAACAATCTCCCACTTGGTCACAAATATATATGTCCTTACAACCTTACAAATGTGTTAGACTTTATGAGCTCAAAAATGTCATTATATTCCTTTAGCATATTCAAAAGTCCTCGTCCATTAATGATATCGGGATATAGAACTGCATCAGACTTTTCATTGCATCATCGCAACTAAAACCAACAAGATTACTCATCCCGACATAACCAAATGACATGGATTCATCATGAAATGTGTAGCATGAAAAATTACGTGAAGGTGATCTCGTACACGTCTATTTTCAATCTGGTCCAAACTTTAACTTATCGAGATCGATACAATAACCTTAATGTACAAAGTGTAATGAATGAACAAGAAAACCGCATATCTATAGATAACCAAATATGTCCAAAAAACAATGTATACATATATAAAATTAAACATAGAACATAAAATATATGAAAATGACTAACTCCCACTAAACCACAAATTCCTCAAACTGTAAAACACCCATGTGAGCAACATGCTCATGAAAGACCTTAGGCGGAAGTCCTTTAGTTAGAGGATATGCTATCATGGAGTTTGTCCTTAAGTGTTCTATGGAAATCAGTCCACTTTGTACTCTTTCCTTAACAATACAGCTGATTTATTGTCACAATATAACTTAAGTGGTCTTTCAATGCCTTTCACAATTTGCAGCCCTGTGATAAAATTTCTCAGCTATATTCCATGATTTGATACCTCATAGCATGCTACAAATTCTTGACATCCTGCAAAATCTGAGTCAGAAAACCCAGCGATATCCAACTGGTTTGACCTCCTGTATGTGAGCATATAATCTTTTGTTCTCTTTAAATATCTTATGACCCTTTTTGCTGCTTTCCAATGGTCTATTCCTGAATTGCTTAAATATCTGCCTAGAACCCCAACTATGTATGTTATGTCTGGACACGTACATATTTAGGAATACATCAAACTCCCGATAACTAATGCATGGGGAATCTGTTGCATTTCCTCAATTTCCAAATTCCCCTTTGGGCACTAATTTAGACTAAACTTGTCTCCCTTAGTAACTGGAGTATCCCCGGCTCATGACGCACAGGTTCTTGAGGATCTTTGAGTTTGATCTTGACGAATAATCAAATCATCTTGAATATGGGGTTTATTATCAATGTCTTGTGGAGATTCCGAACTTACTTTATCAAAAGTAACTGTTTGAATCGGTTCTGGATTTATTGTCGATTCTTCCTCCAATACAAAATTCTTAATCTTATTCTTCCCCCCAAACTCAATATCCTCAAAGAACATAACAGTTCCCATATCAAAAATTGTCTTTAATGTGGGATCATAAAATTTATATCCCCTGGCTCTTTCAGAATAACCAAAGAAGTAACTACTTACTGTTCGGGAGTCCAATTTTAGTTTAATACCACGAGATTCTGTATTAAGAGTTGCATTATAGATGACCACAGTATCAAGTAAATATAGATTATCATTAGCCAAAAAAATGAATCAGTTATAACAATATATGAATTAAAAGACAAACTGAACTTATTGTTTCCAAATGAACACAAATAACCTAATTTGTCCAAATAAGAAACTGAAACCAAATTCCGTCTAAAAGACGGCACGACAAAAAATGTCTTTTAAATCTAAAATAAATAAAAAAACAGTACACAATAATAATCTAAAATGTTCAATAGTCTCCATCTTCACCAATTTGTCATTTTCAACGTATATTCATCTTTTAGAATTAGTTGACTTCCGGTAGTTTAGGCAACCCTTTCTTTTCACGCCAAGCATGATATTTAGCACATTGCTTCTTTACGTGTCCAGTCTTGTTGCAAAAGAAACATTTATTTTCTTAAGTTTGTTTCTTTTGTTCTGGACCTTTAGTAGCTTCCTTGTTGGGATCCTCCGATCTCTTTCTTTTGCCTTTAGTCTTAAAGGTGCTTGCAAAATGAGCACTTTCTGTCTGGTCTTGTTTTAGCCTTTCTTCTTCTTGCACGCAATGAGAAATGAGCTCATTAAGGGACCATTTATCCTTCTGACAGTTGTAAGATACCTTAAACTGATTAAACGTTACGGGAAGAGAAATCAATACCAAATGAATGAGCAACTCTTCTGAGAGTTCAAGCTTTAGTGCCTTGAGTTTAAAAACAATATTAGACATGCTCATAATGTACTCCCTGATATTTCCTTTGCCCTGATATTTCATGGAGATCAAGTTCGAAGAAGAGTGCTTGCCTCCGCCTTATCACTTTTTGCAAAGCGTCGCTCAATTTTAGCAAGGAACTCTTTGGCACTTGTGATGTTTTCGAAACAAGTGCCCCTAAACACCTCCGGATGTCGCGCTTAATGATCATTAGACTCATGCGATTTGAGCGATCCCACTTTTCATAATCTCTTTCTCGCTCGTGAGGTACTTGAATCCGTAGGAACAGGGGGTTGCTCGATCCTTAACGCAAGATCCATATCCATGCGACCAAGAATAATATCAATGTTCTCTTTCCAGTCCTTAAAATTTGTTCCATTGAGGACCTGAACATAATTTAAATTAGCGGATACTGAAGCAATTGTAATTGGATTAGAACAAAAGAAATAAACTAATTATGCTCACATTATAAAAATAAATAATTATAAATAAAATATATATTCAAATAATGGTTTAACCCATCTCAAGACACCCAATGCACCATCAATATCAAGTCTTTGGATAGTAATATTAACTGCTAGAGATATCTTGTTGTAATAATCAAACATTGATAATAAAGCACGTCCAACAACAAACCAGTCTTTGGATTGATTTATCATCGACAAAGCAAATCCTTATAATTATCACATGTTTATCATTACAGGTGTGTATGTAATTCGACCAAATATTAATCTTCCTTTCGTACTGACTAATACTCGCATTGAATATACACAAACACTAACATTCAATATTTTTTAAGAACTACCCAATTCAAGAAATATTACTTTGGTAACTTCTTGACTCAATTTGTTCACAAAAAATATTAAACTACCAAAAAAATAATATTTTATTTATATTACAAAACCAAATATTTAATAATTATTTATTTAAAATTAACAAGGCAAATTAATTCTTGTTGAGCCATGAACCAAATGACCAATCATAATGTCAACGTCATCCCTCACGCCTTTTCTTGATTTCTTTCTCACTAAACCCAAAACAAATAAAAAAATGCTCTGAAGGAAAAGACAAATAAATAAGAATCGATTAGGACACCAGAAAAAAAAAATATTTGTCACCCAATATAGAGCTGTTGTGGCGTGTCATGCGCTGTAGAGCCTATGTAGCGTGTCACATTATGTGGAGTATTAGGCACACAGCAGCCATTGTAGTGTGGTGTGTAGCTTGCTGCCATATGCAACATTGGTTAATGCTTGAATTGAAACCCTTGTTTACCCCCACAATACTACAGTGTTGTTTCAGGTTTATTTTGGGAGACATTTGCATGATTTCACTTCCCTTGTACAAGGTTTTAAACAGTGACCTGCTCTTGTGTATTTGAAACATGACCCAATTTTCTCTGGCAACATCTCTGGAAATTTTTTATGATTTTTGCCACCTTCCCTGTTTTTTTTTTTTTTTTTTTTTTCACATTAATACCATTTCGAATTATCCTTAATGACCCCTCTGGAGCCACACCGCAGCAAGCAAACATTTGACCATGCTTCTCATCACGATAATCCACCACTGTCATATCCAAGATTGGGGCAATGTTTTGAATAGGGTTTGTATAGCATAGCCTTCCATCTACCAATTTCAGGACCACACCATCCCCCATTTCCACAAGGGCAGCTACATATCCACCTTCAACCGCTAGGTTTCTTCCAGGAAGATCCATTGGGTTTCCAGGATTAGAAATTTGTACATGTGTTACAGAAACAAACCCCACAGCTGAGGATCACGTGCACGAAACTTTTCGTTCCAAGACAATATGGCAAGATCTTTGATGGTGCCAAAGACAGGCTGATCACATACAGATTGTACATTCCCATCCTCCTCAATAACCACCAATTCAATAGACGTCTCCTTGCCGAAGACGATGTCATTTGAGGAGGGAGAACGGATGTGAGCGTGGAGGACCTGAAGAACGACGCTTCCTCTGAGGACGCATTTGGAGAGATAGTAGCGCGAGGCAGAGGAAGACGAAGAGGGACCGGACTTCGCCGAAGAGCATTCCTCTTCGGAAACCGCCACTCGTAATTGGATTTGCAATTCATCATCAACAACTTCCTCTTCTCTGGCGAGGAGGAGGCTGATAATCGGAGGATCACCGAGTGGCAAAAATCCCTGTCGTCGCAGTGGGCGAGAGGGACGAGACTCATTAGCGAGATAGGGGACTCAGATAAAGGAGATCCCGCAGAACTGGGTTTTAAGAAACCCTAGTATTCTTAATTTTGGGATTTTTAATTAGGATTTAGGGTTACGTAAATTAATTTAAATTCTTAAATATTTCCTAAGACAAACATGAATCAAGTATGGGAGGCTTTGATACCAATTGTTGGGTTAAACTTTAATTGAATATGATCTTCATCCTAATGATCAAACATATATCTATAATCCCATACTGTAATCATGTTATATAAACTAAATGCGAAAGCGTACCTGAATTAGCCATAATGATGATATTCTTTGTAGAGCACCTTTGAGTTGATCTTATGGTCTTCCACCTGAAGAACACCTGTATTTCCCTATGGATTTTCTCTCTTGATGGGGATAGAAAAGAAAAGAAGGGGACCATGACCCTTTATATAACCAAAATTAGGTTAATTATTTAAGTTTTAGTATTTTCAATTTGACCCCTCATCAAATTAAAAATTACTCTATGGTCTCTACACAATTATATTTTCATGACATATGCCTTTAGCCAAAACTTTAATTTATTAAGATCACTTTATTATTTGGCTTAATAAATAATGACCCTAACACATTTAAATATGTATCATATATATACGTGACCCAAATTTTGCTAACAAGACTCTCATTCACAAAGATAAAAATTGTGTTTGACTTTAGCCATCCATAAATCCATACAATCCACCTTTCACAAAAGCCAAGTCTTCTCAACATGTACGTACAACAGAAACTTTCACCCTACTCATTCGTATGCTTTCTCAAAATCAAGCTTTCAAAATTAAAACAAGGAAAAAGATATTTTTACACCACTGTCCACAAATAACCCATCAATCAACTGCATTTTATATTATAATAATAATGTTAACTTATCATGGTTCTTAAAACAATACAAACCCTCTTGTATCTCTTAGCTCATATATGACCTCATTTGCAACCACCACACTTTATAATAGGTTTCAACCCGGAGAATTGCACATTGTATCTGATCTATAATCTTCGATAGAAATCTACTCTTGAGTCTATTAGTCAATATCTTTGAAATCACTTTATACATACATCTCATCATTATGAGATATTGGTATATATTATCTTTAGGGTACGAAAGTACGTTAAACTCAACTCGTTAGGTTAAAAATGAAACCATTAAACTTATTTTTTTTAGTAAAAATAATCTAATTCGGTATAGGAGTTTATGAATTAACTAGGTCGTGCTACTTAAATATTTTTTTAATTACTAAAATAGATAAATTATTAGATGAGTTCAATTATTAATATAAGTGGATTAGGTAAATTGGCTGAGTAATTTTTTTCATGAATTTAAACTATTATGTAATAAAAAAATTAAAATATTAAAAATTAATAAAAACGAATGAGTTCACCACTAGTCCACTTTAAATTTATTTAATTTATAAGTTAAGTAAACAAAAATTGGAAAAAATTAGGTTAAAGTAAAAATAGAATTGTTTACATAATCAACTCCAACTAAGTTTTAAACAATTTATATGTATGACCTATAATAAAATATTCATTTTTATTCATAAATAATTATTGTAAAATCTCTCTTTAATGCTTTGTTTGTTTATATATATTTACTTAAATTGTGTGTGAATAATATTTGAAATGATATAATCTTGTTTATATATATATAAATTTGAGTAAAATTACATTGATTTGAGTGTGGGTTTCACACAATGAAAAACTCTCATATTAAAGTGAAAAATTCCATGTATTTACATTGAAAAATGAGGTAAAGTAACATAAGGTAAAGTAACATAAATAACCTCATGTAAACACATAACTTAAAATTGCAAAGATTCTTTCTATTTGAGTAATAACATAGTTACACCTAATACATTTTAAACTCAATCCAATGATACAGATATTTAAGATTAGCCTTTGTGTTTCTTATTTGAAATTATATTATATTTTTGTCATGTCTTCCTTATCTTTTAATTTATACTTAATTTATCAATTTCATCTTACAAAGTAATTTGATTATTACACTACAAATATTATTATTCAGTTACCTTATATTGAATCACATAACTTATAATAAATATAAATCTATTCAAATCCCTTCAAATTCACTGTCTTTTTCTCAATTTAGTATACTCAAATCACCTAAAAATTTATACAATCTCACACATCTACTCAAATCCTCTCAAACTCCCGTGAATCCCCAACACAATTCAAACACCACAATCCAAACACAAGCTAATGATGCCCTAATTACCTTACCCTAATAGGGTTTTTCAGTTTTGGTATTAATGAAATTACTGATGCATTTCCCCCTCCCTTGGAAAACTACCATTGTAGGTCCTTTCTAACTTGTCTAATGAAATATCTGTCTAAATTTTTGTAGGACCTCCTCCTTTACCTTTTGCAGTTCCTTCCCCCACCCCTCTAGTGTTTGTAACCCCTCCAATCATATTTCTGTTTATTCTCCGATTTATGCTTGTGTGAAAAATTTGGTATTTCTATAACCCCTTTTTTAGTCATTTCTATATTGATTTCTTCCTCAAAATTGACTCTTGATAGTTAGCCACTTGCCAAAAAAATATAAAATACCCGAAGATTTATACTATTTTGTACTTCTATTTCAGTATGCCTTTGACTTTCCTCCCACTTATCTCAACTGGGTCAAAATCAATATTTTTTAATTAAATTTACAAAATTGAAAAGTAAAAATGAAAATAGAAATGTAACTACAAAAAGGTACTCAAACAAGTTATTCAAATCAGCCAAATGTTGTACAATGTAACCAGAACAAATTATTTGATAGTTCAAGTTATTGGACACAAGCCAACACACATGAGCATAATCACTAACAATACATGAAAAAAAAAACCCGAATTGATTACTGAAACTAGAAAAAAGGAGGTTATAAAATCAGATTTCTTTTGGAGTAGGGCAGGCATGAAAATGGGTAAGATAAGCCTCAGCCAGCATGTGACCCAACTTAACTTGAGACTCGGTGGTTAAGTGAAGATTATCTTCCTTCAATTGCAATCCCTTTGCGTCCACGAATATCACATTTGGAAGATCAATCGCTTTTTGTGCTTCTCTCACTTTCTCTATGTACTCAGACCCTGATGCTAACGCAACCTACACGTTACACACTCGTATCATCATGGGAAAATACATTTAGGTTAGTTTGGTCTGTTCCTAAATAGAAAAAAGAAGAAGAAGAAAGGTAGTGATGTTGGAAACCTGAATAATTGGAAGAGATGGTAAATTGAGGTCTTGTCGTACATTGTGGATGAGGGTTTCCATGTTGTCCTTGTAAACCGCAGCATCTTCCTCACTGATTGTGTCGCTTTCTCCTTGGTACCACACCAACGCTTTGATCTCGCAACTCTCCTGCCCCTTCACGCTTTCCTTCGCTCTCTTCACCATATTCTTGTACAGTTCCTCCCCACGCGCCCACTCCCTTATGGCGGTGCCGCCCACGGCGCAAGGGACCAGCCCTACCTCGTCTCCCACGCGCGGCCGCAGGGCGTTGGCGAATGCCATGCCGGGACCCACGCCGCAGACTTTGGTGGTATCTATGTCGACGTGGAGGGGCTCGTTTGCCGGTTCCCATTGGAGGGTGGCGGCGAGGCGGAGGATGGAAGGGTGAGGGTGGCACTCCGGCGGAACGACGCGGTCCCAGTACTTGCTGTCGTTAGCCCTGATGACTCCGCCGCGACCGGCCATGTTGCTTTGGCCTGAGAGAATGAAGATTTGCCTCTTGGGTTTTGGGAGTGTGAGTGTGTTGGTTTCCATTGCCTTCTACTTCCAACTGCAACAAACAAGGGGAATGATGACTACTTAACCACCGCATCATAATAAAGTAGTTGGAGAAACGTCATAATCAAGACTTCTAACACGTTTTTTGCATGGACTGAAAAATTATTGTTTGAGATCTCAATTTTATACCATTATTGCAAACAACTGCTTTTTAATATTATAATAATTATATACATATATTTTTATTTTTATTAAATCTTATTATTATTATTATATTAATAAAAAACAGTTGCACGAGAAGTTGTCTAAAAAAATTGGGATGTCAATGTATCACTCCCCTCTCAAAATAAATATATTTTTTTTCTACTTCAATCAAAATTTTATAATTTATTACATATTTAATTTAAAAAAAAAATGATATTCCAAAACTCAAAGGTCCAAGAATTGTGAAAACAGATTTTCTCGGCCCATCATGTATCGTGGCTATATTGGTAAGTAAGATACTATCTTTTTTTTTTTCTCTATTTCCGACGCCATATTGTGAATCTGTACCGACCTTGGGCTTTTGTATTGGGCTTTATGTTTATGTTTAGGCCTCTGATGTCAAGACATGTAATAACTCCTGTAATTTTGTTCGCATTTTTTTTCCACAGCACCTTTTATTTAGTTTTTCTGAAAATTAATTTTCAAATTTATTCATATATTTGGAAACAAATATTGAGAATATAAAAAAAATGTAAATAATAGAGTGCAAATATAATTCCTCCACGATAGTAGTCCATTAGCTTTGCATGATTTGAATCACTACCAATGTTTTTCATCTTCCAGAAGAAATAATTAAGGGGCCAATACTTTTTTTTCTTTTTCAATAAAAAAAAATGTATATAAAAGCCCTATCTCCTTCCAATGTCTGATTTGATATCAAAGATGAAACCCTAATTATCATCGTCAATACATCCAACAAATACACGACAAGATAAAAGTTACTAGCATGTCACATGAAACAAAATTTAACAACAAACATGTCAATTAATTAATTGTGCCAATCAACTAACGTTATTAATACTAATTATTTATCTCAAGAGTTAGCATAAATTATATATTTAAAATTAAAATATTAATTTTATATTTCATTGTTTATTAAATAAAAATTATTATACACCTTGATAAAGATGAGCTATTCAGCCTATAAAGAAGGACGGTATAAAAATCATGGAAAGGGTGTTTGGTTGTGTCGGCAGAGAGGGTTTAGGTGTGTGTTATTTTTTTTGGCAAATGAAAGAATTGATGGTGCACGTGTTAGACTATTTAGCAAAATATTGGGTCAGGGTTTTAGGTAGGGATAACAAAGTTTTCTCTTTCCGAAGATATATAAACATTAGAACTTGGATTTAAAAAAATCTATTGGAATTCATAATTTTTTATTTTAAAGTTATTTTTTTAATTATTAAATTCATAATATTATATTTAAAACGCAATAAAACTAATTAGTATTATAAATAATACATTTAAAAAAATTACTTAAATAAAGTATTTATCAATTTATTTATTTAATTAAATTTAATTATTATTTATACATAAAATTTATTTATACAAATTATTTAAAAGAAAAGTTATTTAAATTAAATATTTATTACTTTATTTAATTAATTATTATTTATATATAAAATTTAATTATAAAAAATAAAATTTATCTGTCATAATGATTATTTTTCTCTTTTCTCATTCACTTTTATATTTATTTTCTTTATTTATTATTTGTTTTTTTTTCTATCTTTATTCTTCTTTTACTTTCTTTTCTTCTTATAATTTAAAATATTAAATTAAAATTTGATAAAATAATTCTTTTTTATTTATAAAAATAAAAATATTTAAATGACCCAAAAATATTATATTTTAATATATGGGAGATAATTTTTGACATTTTACAAATTTGTTATTATATTATAATTATTAAGAATAAAAATTCAATATTTATTTTACAGTTTTTTTAATTATTTAATTTGATTAATTACTATGACCAAACTTAATTACAACTAGATTTTATTATTATATAAAAATAATTTGTATTCATAAATATTTAATATTTTTTAGTTGATATTTTTAGTTTTAATATTAATTTTAAATTTTTATTTGAATAACTTTTTTAATAAATATATTATCAATAAGATTGATTGTGAAAACAATCTAAAAGTATAGTACCTTGAATTTTAGGTGGAATAGTTCAATTTTTAACCTAAACTTCAAACTTTCTATATTTCATGATCAAATCAAGCTAAAGTTAAGAGAAAACTTTAAAGTACTTAAAAAAAAATTGTATATGGAAAAAAAAAATGACGAGAGTTGGTCATCTCTGAAAAATAGGGCCAAACCATTTAGGTTTCAGCAAGAAACAAAACCCATTGATGAATACTCAACCCATCAACCAGTAAGCATGTGCCCCACTTGTGATATGTAGGATGCGTTTAGTCCAATTCATTTTATAAGATAATAACCCATTTATAATTTAATTAATTTTTTAGAATTATATTTACCTTTGTAAGATAATAACCCATTTATAAGATAACATGTTTTTATTTTTATTCTGTAGCCGCGCATGATGATTTAGAAAGAAAAACTGACAATTAAAGACTTGGAATCCACCTGTTCAAAATTATGTACTGCATAAATCAAAAGCAATGCATGCCCATGACCAAAAATGAACCTAATTATATAGATGAGACAAGGATTCGTTTCAGTGGTCATTAGTCAATGTTACAATCATTGTCACCTTGCATAAACAAGCACTCTCTCTAATATTTTCCTCTCTTGATGCTATTTCAAGTCAATAAAAGATGGAAAAGGATAAACACCTTGATCTAAAAACAGGGTATGTGTGTGTGTGGAACACATCAATGACATCATTATGAAGAAGAATTAATTGAGAGCAGCACAAGGGATCTTGTCTAAGATTTGTAGAGCCTCTTTGATAGAAGGTCTCTTTTGTGGGACATGAGAAACACAGCTAAGACCCAACTTGAACCATGCCAATACCACATCCTCTCTCCCTTCTATTTCAGATTTTATTGCAACGTCAGCCATTCTCAACACCCGGCTCTTTTCCTCCTCCATTAAACTCGGTTCATTCCACTGTTCCAGCTCTCGCTCCAGGAAAACCTTTCCAGTTAGAAGTTCCAGCAACACCATCCCAAAAGAGTACACGTCCCATTTGTGACTTGGTTTCATGTTCTCAAGTGACTCTGGGGCTCGATAGGGCATTATGTGGCCCGCACCACTAGATGATGATCCCATTGCTGCGAAGGGACTTGACCCAAATGCCAGCTCTTGCTGGCTTCTCTGGCTCGCCATTAATTGTCTACCAGAACTGTTTCCTCTGTGGGTCACATCGTTCAAGAGGAGCCGGTCTAGCCCAAAATCGCTTATGATGGCTTCCATTTCAGAGTTTAGCAGGATGTTGCTGGGTTTAACATTGCCATGCACGTGTTTCTTCTCGTGAATGAAGGCCAACCCTCGTGCCATCCCTTTTGCTATCTTCAACCGTACCTCCAAGGACAAGTTCAAAGGGGACGAACTTGCTTTTCCTAAACCATAATAATACATCATTAAACATAATTTTCTAGTCAAGAATTGATCTTTCACTAGATAATTCAATTAAGTTTGTATTAAAATTCAACATGTAAGTTAATAAACTCGAATTGTAATCAAGTTTCACTTTTACAGTTTGGACAAAAAATGATTGTGTTCAACTTCAGTACAAGATGAAACACAAGTTTTAATAAGAAAACCATACCGAATCACCTAATGAACGGTTGAAGAGACTGGTATGGATGATATTTGATGTCATAAAGGTGGAGATGAACTTACTGTGATCTATGGTGGCGAGGCTGCCATTGGGGACATAGTCACATATTAGGAGTTTATCATCTCGACCCCAGCAGAAGCCACGAACCTTAACCAAATTGGGATGACGAAGCTTTGCAATGGCACGCACTTGGTTCTCAAAGTCCTTCCTTTTCTCAATCCCACGCTCACCGATCCTTCTAACAGCAAAGGCTCTCCCATCCTCTAGCACTGCCTTGTAAACAATGCTGACGTGGCTGTTTCCCAAAATATACGCTGAAGCCTTAAGCAGAGTCTCAAGCTCCAAATTTGTTTCCGCATCAACGGTTACAAGAGTGCCTTGTTTCGGAAGGTTCCCGTTTTGCGCTGCCATGATGTCCACTGCCGTGTTACTCTCGTGGTCACTGTCGGAGCTAGTTGCTTCCGAAGTTTCTTCTTCTTTGATTGTTAAGCAGGAACAAGGAAGTGAAGGAGTTACTGTTCTTGTATCTGCATCTTGTCTCGAAGCAGTTTCGTCTTTCTTTTCTGAGTTGTTGGCAGAAGCAGCATTAGTGTTGGGTTTTGAATTTGGATCTGGATGTCTTTTCTTTCTCTGTTGGTAGATGAAGAGAATGATGAGGGCCAAAAGGGCCATGCCGGCTAAGTCTCCTACCACAATTGCTGCTATGGTGGCAGGTTTTAGGCCACTTGGTGATACATTCTGAGAACTGGTGGTGGTTCCTGTTGAGTTTGCTGAAGGGTTTGAGTCAATTTTTGGTATGGCAGCAATGGCTGGTGAAGATGTGGTGACATTGGGTGGAGCGCTGGACTCAGTAGAGGGAACGGTGCACAGAATCTTCAGAGGCTTACCACAAAGATCAGAATTTCCTGATAGAAACTCTGTCTTCTGGTTGAGCAAAGCCAAAGACTCTGGTATTGGTCCTGTCAGATTGTTGAATGAGAGGTCCACTGTTGTGTTTCCTGGAATCTGTTTCGCGAATGCTGGAGGAATTGTTCCCGAAATCTTGTTGTAAGAGAGATTCAAGTAGCGCAAGCTTTCGCCGCCAAAGTCTTCGGGCAAAGAGCCGTTGAATAAATTGGACGACAGATCCAGAATCTCCACGTAGTTGAACCCGGTTGGGACACTACCAGAAAAGTAGTTACTCTTCAGAGAAACAACGGTTAAGTTTGGTAGAGAGGTGAGGTTTTCTGGGATCAACCCGGCAAAAGCATTGTCTGAGAGATTAAGAAGTTTAAGGTTTGTTAGTTTACCAACCAGGTCAGGTAGTTCACCCGAGATAACATTGTTTGAGAGGGAAAGTACTTGAAGCTGGGAAGAGTTAAAGATAGTGCTGGGTAGAGATCCATTAAGGAAATTGTTGGAGAGATCGATGTGACGAAGGTATTGGATCAAGCCTAAGTCTTCAGAAATGGAACCCAAAAGTTGGCTATTGGGAAGTGTCAAACTAGTTACTCTGAACAAATCAGGGGTACCAGGGGCTCCTATTTCATTGCATGTAACGCCATGCCATGAACAAGGCGTTGCATCATTGTAGTTCCAGTTCTCTAAGACTGATAAAGGGTCGCTGAGGATGGAGTATTTGAATTTTAGCAAGAAAATCCCATCAGAGTTAAGAGATGTAACTGACTGAGCTGTAACAGATTGAAGAAGCAGAAGAAGGAAGGACGAGAGTCTCCACCACAACTGGAGATTCTGAGAGTTAAGGCTCATGTTTCCCTTGAGTGATGTAACATATTGGTAACTACAAATTCATGGAGTAGAAAAAGAGTTCGGATGGAAGGGAAGAGACAAACAGTGAAAGGATATGGTTACCAACTACAACTTGTTTGTTTTGTTCACCAAATCTTTTGATCGGTTTGGTGCTGTGGGGGGGGGTTCGAGAATTGGTGGAAGAAGTTCGGGGAGTTGCTAGGATGTGTGTTAGAGTGTTGCGTGGCAGACAAACAGGCTGTAAGTGAGAGGACGAAAAATGATTAAATGAGGGTACTAAGAAAGCAAGGAGGATTTGGGTTGAGTTGTGGAGAGAAAGTGGTTGCAGAAAGAAAAGATAATTCTCCTGCTTTGTGCAGTTGATAAAAGATGAAATGAACTGAACCAAACTGAAGGAAAGATAATTAAAGTGAGTTATATGGTACTGCTGTGCCTGCTCTCTCTGCCATTAAAAAAATCAAAAAACAAAGTTTTCTTCACACATAACATAATTGGCAATAGAACTGAAAGGAATCTAATTGTTGCTACAAGACACCCGAGTGAGTTGGACCCCATAACTTGTAGCAGAGAATCAGTATAGTCCACCACCCCCCCGTGAATTTAGTGTTCTGTGGATGTGGGTGAAAAAATGAAATTCTAGGAAGGTGATTTCAGTACCATTTTTTACACCGTGTCTTCTAAATTAAAAAAATATATATGCAAATTGTTTTGACATGAATTTACAGCCTGTAGGAATAACATAGACCAATTTTTAGGAATTTCGTTGATACTGAAATAAAAAGACGGCAGGAGGTAGTTCTCTCTCTCATTTCTAAATAAATTGCTGACAAACAACCAACAGTGATGGTGTTTAAATAAGAAGCAGAATGCAATTCATGGCAAAATGAACAACGAAGAGGAATTTCGGGTATGTCTTTATTCACTCCAAGCTGTCTATTATTACTCCTACTTTAAGTAATTTTTACTTAAAATATCTTTTCAGCTTTGTTAATCAAATTAATAAAGCTCCTAAAAAATGCAGAGACTTGAAATGGAACAATACAGTTTTTTCTGGAATTCCTCATGAAAAATGCAACAAGACAATATGTTGAGGTCATGGGACCTTAAGGGCAAGGGTGTTCTTCTTTTTTGTGCTTGTTTTTGGGCCGTCTCCATTGGGTTCGGTACCACCTACGTTTGGTTACCATCATGGTCAAAGACAATTGAAGGATTGGGACAATGATGCTGAAGTGGTGTCAAATTATCAGTGGTAGTTAGTGATTCCAAATAATTTGTAAATGTGATTAGCTACTCAAGTCACTAGCAACAATTTGGACACTTGTGCTTTTTGATTTGATACGTACAGTTAAATAACAAAACTAGTAGTCACGGGCATAAACTATATGGAGGGAAGAACAGTTCACCAATCACCATTCACTGTACAGTTAAGGTCATTCATAGCAATAGTAATTGGGAAGGTGTTCCTGTGACTTCACAGGTTGCAACTTCAATAGCAATTAAACTCATTGCAACTGCCCTTGTCACCATCCTTTTCTTAAATTATGGACTCTGAATGCTTCAAAAAGCATGTCGTGTTTAATCTTAATTCCAACCTTAAAAAACTCATAAATTATCGTAGTCTATGCAGGACCAACTGTTTGTTTCCATAGCAGTCCACTTTTTAAGGGGGAATATTTCATATAAAAAAAGAAGAATTCTGTATTTTCATCAGGGAAGTATTTATAAAATTCAAATCCCCAAGTCTCCTTTTTTTAATCTCAGTCTTTTAATGCAATACACATTTAAATTAATTTATATGTATGTAAAGTCTGAGTTTATGTTATTATATTATGTCTGTAATTTATGGAAAGGGACAAACCTTTCACATGAGACTTCACCTACTTTTCAGATAAACACAGTCCAAGGCTACGAGCAAAAGGTTTTAAATAATAAAAAAAATGAGAACACTGTGCTAGTAGTTCATTCCATTATTCCGTATGAACGCTCTACTACTTTGATTGGATTGCTTAAATTCTGAAGACGAATTTCCATGACTTGACAAAGGCTTACTTAAAAGGATGCAGTGTACTATCTGAGAAGAATGTGGGAATGGTTTCATACAACAAGTTTTGGAACTCGACTCTATCTAATGAATTTGCAACTAGCAAGAAAAGAAGTGTGTTGGAGCTATATAACGGGAGATTCAAGAATGTAACTTTATTATGAATGATAATTAATTACAAGTAGGAACTAAGTAACTATTTAAATGGTTTATTAAATATTACTTTATATTGTTATCCATCGTCCTTTTTCCAACTTGTAAAATGAAAAGTGCCTTTGTACTTGCACAATTAGTTGATCCCTTATAAAATTCTAATATATGACGAGAAAAAGTTAATGTTGATGTTGATTTCGATCAATTCTTTTCGTAAGCTGAATGAACATGGAGAGCAAATTACTGAATACATCGCAGTGTGAGTTGGAACGTGGAAACAGGAAAAAAATTTTAGTCCACAAACACTATGTTGCATGTTGAAAAAGTTTCTCTCTCAGGTGATTGATAAGACTCGACGGAAGACAAAAAAATTGTATGATAACAGGACCATACTGGAAGCAATATATGGTCCCAGAGTAGAAGCCAAGAGAATCAGTTCGTGAAAAGCCTCAATCCTTCTTGTGAACTGTGTCTGTGTGGCATCAATATGAATAAAAGTGGTGTCCCTCTTCTCATCTACGGGACAATCATTCGAAACGGCCCAAAATAAGAAAAAAGGTAGAACTGTATCGAGTTAAATGCAAGATGAGATACAAACATGAGATTTCTACGTTTGATGAATCTCATATTTGATTTGTTTCTCACATGCATCTATAAGTAATTTTATTTGAAGTATAAACATATGTTGTAACAACAGTTCAAACTTTAGTTCCACAAATTGTGGAGACTACTCATGCATAATGAGGAAATGATACATTAAACAGGAAGATGAATGAAAGTTTATCCTCTTATTAGTTACTTGTAACATAAGGAAACAAGATAGGAATGATGGTGCAGTAAAATTTGAAAGCCTGGTCATACTTTGCTGAAAGTTGTCTAAAGTGATTGCTTTTATAATCATCAATGTTGGAAGTTGTTTGAAGGGATGGCAGAGCGTATCCACCTTTGAATCCACTTTCCTCTTTTACTTTTCCTTTTAGCTGAGGTTGTCTTGTTCTTTCTTTCAGTGGTTATGATGCATCTGTTTCTTTTTGTTGTTTTCTCAGCACTACCCGTTGAGAGGTCACTAAACTACGACATCTAACATGATCAATAATGACAACATTGCCTCATCACATGTTTGCCTATTTATGATCAAACCAAAATGCAAAGAAAAAAAGAGACCAAAATTCGACCTCGTGATTCCTTGGACTGTGTCTTCGCTTCCTTAATTATTATCTAATTTCAGCCCTTCAAAATATTTTTATGTAAAAATTATTGAAGGGGAATACAGTTTCAGCCTTTGAGATCATAAACTGCACTGAACTGCTGAGATCATAAAATATTGGAGACGAATATAACACAAGAGACATTGATACAACGTCTACTTTTCATTATTTTTACCAAACTGATGACGTTGTCGGAGAATCATAAATCACCCTGGCATTAATTTATTTATTTAGAGTAAACTACTACTTCATCCTCGTACAGGATGAAATGTTACTACCACATTATTTACCATATTCTCTTAAATACATTATGTATTAGCAATTAAAATCTATTAAAAAACACAAAAATGTAAATTATATCTCTTGTTTAATAAATCTCATTCTCAGTGTAAAGATTATAACATTATTATTACTGTGATTTTTAAACTAATTATTGTATATATGATAATTAGTGAATGAATAACTGTAAAACTGTTTTATATGGTTAGTGTGTGTGTAGACTATTTCCTCAGAAATTGTGTTCCTTTAAACTTCATGGACTATGGTGGACTTTTATCCGTGATCAATGATCCAGTGAGGAAGGCCCAACGGGCAAGAGGAAATGGACCAACATGGAAGCCCAACAGAAAACTGGGCCCTCTTATATTCCGAATTTGAAAGCCCGGGATTACCGAATAAGGAAAAGCAAAAGACGCAAAAGGAAAAGACCATTAAAGGCGAACGGAGACTCTCCTCTTTCTTCATCACCACCAGCAATGCAGACGCTACTTCTGCCGGCAACACGCGCCGGCAGCTTTACGGTGGTTCCAGTGTCCAGCTCCGCCGTCGCCGCCCCTCGTCTCTCCCAACCATTTCTCCGGCCGAATTCCCTGCCCTCACTCCCTCTCAATTTGACTCGTTCTTCTTCTTCTTCTTCTCTCGGTTCCTCCATCTCTCGTCAACCATGGAAGCTTCCCTTCTCCGCAAGCGCTTCTTCTCAAGTGTCTACGGCTTTCACTGCCTCGAATGACGAATCAGAGAAGGCAAAACTCGAGCAGGTACTGTCTAGTGAGTGGTTTTGGATTACTCAATTACGAACTCGAATTCCATTTCTAGGGTTCTTCAAAGTGGAATTGTGGTGGTGCAGGTGGCGAAGAGATTGGAGAAGACGGCGAGGTATTTCAAGCGTTTGGGAAACTTAGGGTTTTGGGGTCAGCTGGTCTGCACCGTCGTGGCTGCCGTCATACTCTCATTCTCCGTCGTTATTACCGGAAAAGTGACATCTCCGGCCACGTTTTATGCCACAGCGGGTGGAATAGTGGCTGCCTTCATTTCTGTGTTTTGGTCCTTTGGCTACATTCGCCTCTCGGAGAAGCTCCGAAAAACTGCAAATGACCCCACCAAGGTGTGTGTGTAAATTCTTGAATTTGCTTAGGGTCATGAATGATGTTAATTATTGCAAGTTGTAACTGCATTTACTTAGTTATATTCATATGAAAATCATTGTGTGTATCTATTAAGTGAATTTTGATGAAGTAGCTTAGATTTTCCTTTTCTTGTGTTTTCAGGCACCCCCTCGTGCTGATGTAGTGAAAGGCTTGAAAAATGGAATAGTGATGAACCTGTTGGGGATGGGTGCTGCTATTCTTGGCATGCAAGCCACGGTTGGGTTGTTAGTTGCTAAGGCTCTCACTACCTCGACAAACCCGTTATATCAGGGAATTTCTCCCGGTAGCAGCCCAGTTCTCGCATTGGATGTATTTTTGGTGCAGGTATGTCTTCTTTATAAAAGTTTCCCTGCTGCAAATTAAATTTTTGTCCATTTTCTTGCATGGTTTGTGCTAGAGCCAGATTCTTTTGTTTTAGATCAGCTCTCGTCCCTTTTTAATCAGCGTTATTCTCACTAGTTTCTCATTTGACCTGCATAGTTGTTAGTTACGTTATTAAAAAACTTCTCATTCAAATGAAAGCCGGTTCTTTTTCTTCTTATAGCCCCCACAATGACCATCTTTTTGTCATCTCAACTAAATCCTATCTGTCTGGTTCTCTGTCTTCTGCCGATGCCGTTCTTCTTCCTTTTAAAAATAAATGTATAATCAAGGAATTGGGGACATGTCTTGATTCCTGTTATTGGAGGATGAAGTTTAGCTTCGTGGAGCTTAACTTTCAGTTGAGTTAATAACAGAAACTATTGAACTCTTATTAATGTAAAATACTTCCCTGAAATGTTTAGAGTGTATGAATTGAACGAGTCCCCTAAAGTGAGAATGGATTCAAGAGGGAAAAGTGCAGAGTTATATAGTATGCATATGTATTCAAACTAAAATTGTTAGAATTTACTCCCTTGGATTTCCAATCAATGCTTGTAAATTATACCTGCTCTTCACTTTCACCTCTTAATTGCAACCCTCACTAAAAGGCGACAAATTTGAATATTGTAAATGACTTCTGACAATAGGGAAGGCTGACTGTAATGATGTTTCGTATTTTTTTTTTCCCATCAGGTTGATATATTTAAACTAACAATTACAAAATGGGGAATGCTAGTAAAACACATTCTAGTACACTTTTCCAACACACTCTTCACTATACGGTAAAATATATGTGGTTCTACCAAATAATGAATGGGTTTTTGATTAAATAGTGGTAGAATCGCAATTTTAGTGGGTCCCATGTGAATCATATCGAGTACTGAAGTGCGTAGTAGAGAATGTTCCCTTGTTTACTGTTTCAAGATTTTACTGGTATACTTGTTTCTTTTGTAATAATTGATCATAGTCAAAACATTTCCATTGCAACAAAAATAATAGTGAGCCACATTTTGATTGTCTTGGGTAGCACATATGGTCTTCGGCAGTAGCCATGTTTGACCTCTTGGTGTCACTCATCAAGAAATGAGTAACACTATTAAACATTTATCATCTTTGTTTTACAGGCTTCAGCGAATACTATTCTTTCACATTTTCTTGGGCTTGTTTTCTCATTGGAGTTGTTGCGATCAGTCACGTTACCACCTTCAGAAGCGACTCCATTTCCCAAGTTTGCATAATATGTTCCCCGAGACTAGTACAATGAAATCACACACCCAAAAATTGTCCCTCATTCGGGTGGTTGTTTGCTTAATGAATTTGTGTTCAGCTTTTTTTGATACTGCGTTTTAATGCCCTCTTCCTAGGCAATTCAAGAAATTGCGTATTTCCAAGTTTAAAAGAACCCCTGCAATGTTGTTAATAAGCATTATAATGCCTCAACAAATGAAGATCCTTTGGCAGAGTATTACAATGGCGGGAGTAGATCGCATTGTGTGCACTCTACAGCTTTGGAGTTATCACTTACGTTCATAGCATGTCTGCCGTAAGATCCAATAGGACAAATTTCGAAACCCAACTCTGAAATAGTTGTATATTAGACCTGTCATGCAATCTGCGGGTTTTTGTTTCTTTTCAAGGTCCTCGCCAGCTTGTTTGACAGTATGATGTGAAGTTTTTATCCAACGAACATATTTTTTCTTGTTAGAGTTACTTTTTGCCTATGATTTTGTATTTGCACCACTCTTGTCAGAATCTCTTTATTTTTTTCCAGTGTTCTAACCAAACCTTTAACCATAAAAAAAGGGTAAAGAATATTTGATACAAACAGACCACGCTGGTATTTATTTTGATATATCTTTTACGAGGATACCTTATTCCTTTTTTATTCTAAGAAATTTGTTTTTATCTAATTAATAAATAAAATTGCAAAATATGATCGATGGTTCCTTTTGAAAAGAACACTTCCAAACTTTGGTTCGGGTGGAAATGATCGAGCAATCCCAAATGGCTTAGCGAACACCGCAAAACCAAAACGCATTATCAAATACGCTGTAATGTAGTTTGTTGGAACAATAAAGTGTTCAAGTTAAACAGCTTTGTACTTTCTTTTCATTGATGCGGAACCCGTTCAAGAAGGTTCTTAAGAAGTTTATTCTTCACTTTTCCTCATTTTCTATTCAGTATCTAGAATAGAAACAAAATGGGACGAAAATACTCCTCCAAACAACTTTTTCTAAAGATACATTTTACATGTGTTAAATTATGTGAGACGTGTGTATCAAAATAAATTTAACATTGATAGATACGTAATTTTATAATCAACATTAACTTTTATTTTGAAATGTATATTATACATTAAAATGAGCTTTATTGATGAAGTATTAAACAAATTTCAAACTATGTGAAAAATTGTAGAATTGATTCAATTTGTAAGACCTTTCAAACTAATAATAGTTAATGAAATTCAACACACGGTGTTATTGAATGAAATAAGTTAAATAATTCGTATTCTTAAAGTATGTAGATCCGTGTGAGTTTATGTGCGCACAAAGTTATTCCAAAATATTTAAAATAAACAAGTAAACTTAAATTCAATTTTGCTTTATCTCAATTTTAAGAATCAATTTAAATCATGATCATAACTCTCTTTTTTTTTTAATATACTGTTTTCTGCATTTTTCGTTATAGCATAATAATACAATTTAAAACAAATAGATTATTTTATAAAATGATTTTACAAATAGTGTTGACAAATAAATAAAAAATGATAATATAAAGGAATTATATCCACTCTTAAATGACGAGTATGATGCTTACCAAAAGGCATGATATATTAACAACTGCGTGTAAAAACAACTCTAATATATTAATATAATATTAAAAAAGGATAAGATGAAATAAAAGTAATTTAAAATTATTATTATACTATTAAAAGTGAATTATTTGTAAAGTTGTATATTTTGGGTTGTCAATTTTTTTAATTTACGAAAATGTTATACGGTCACTTATTTTTCTCAAATAAAATTATTTCATTTTAATAAAAAAAATAATTCAATTGAAAAATGACATGAAAAAACAGTTATAATAAAAAAAAATTGTATCTCTTTATACAATAATATTGACGAAGAGAAGTTGCATAACAGGTGACCCGTTGTTACTTCATTACAAGTAAATTGCGTTGTGTTAATTTAGGTTTTCATATTTAAAAAAAAAAAAAAAAAAAACCAAAATAACATGGTTGTTTAAAAAAATCATTACCCTCAAATCTCTCGGTCAGAAACAAAAAGAGGATTTTTTTTTTTTTCTGTTCCCCATTTTCTGAAAGGAAACAAATACCTAAAAAACTATACGATAAAAAACTAGCCATACCTGCAAGTAACATAGAATGGCATGCATTCATGTTTTTTTCCTTCCTTTTCAAACTTACAATTTCATATAAAAATTTATAATTGCAAGTAACATATGTAAATCAGCTTACCAGTTCATAACACCTCAAAACCTGAGGAAACCATTTTGTACATTGGAAAACAGACAAGAAAAAAAAAAAAAAAAAAAAAAACAAGTCACCCACCTACCATCACAGACTATATATACACTAATTACCAAGTAAAAACATGTTTTTCCATTCAAAATTATTAATTTGGATCTCCACACAGAAAATGAGGAAACATGAGACTAAGACTCAACAACAACCATCATGTGTGTGAAATTCCCAGTATCTTTGTCGTTCTTGCATTAGTCTCTATATATATCAGCCATATAAAAACACGAGAAGATCCATGTTATTCTTACTAGGTTGCTTTCTTTACTGAATATATCTTTTATTTCAATCCTCTTGCAATTGCAAAGCCTAGTTATGCGAAGAAGGCGATGAGAAGATGTTCACAGTTGAGGTTCTACCCCTGATTCGTTCCAAGGTATGCAGTGCTGAAAGAGTTAGTTCCATATACATGTTCTTCATATTTTTTATGTCAGAAAGTTCTTCTGGAACCTGCATTAGTACTCTCTCTTCATTTTCATTGATAGTCGTGGAGCCAAAACGATTTTCCATAAAATCCTGGCTCATCGATGAGCATGGACCATTGGTGAAAAGAATGCTTATCACCTCACACTCCTTTACAAGTTGGTTAAGCACATCAGTTTCATAGAAAGGCTGCTTCACCACATCTTGGATAAAAGGTGACCGAAGTAGAGCACCAGTTTTCTTATCGTGCTTCTTTATTATCTTCACCAAACCTGCACTTCAACATTCATCATCAAACTCATTCTCAATCCATCGCAAATGAATAACACATGAGCTGATAATGTAAACATGTTCCACATTATTCCATCACAAATCATTATTGTGAAATACTAGCATTCATGCATGAGCTCTAAGAACATAACATGCCTGTGTAGTTGAGTGCACTGTAGTTCTCTAACAAAATCATCTCCCCATGAAAGTCTACTATTTCCCTCCCTAATGACATCAAGTCTGCATTTAAATCCAACGCTTCGACCACTCTGTCTTGCAACTCCTGCAACACAAACCACGGATTATATATTTATGCTCTTGTTTGGATAATCCTTTTAACAAGTATGAATAATAAAAAATATATGAAAAAAAGAAGTAAAATGAATTGCATGTTTCTCATCATAAACTAAAATTAATCTAAAATACTATAGAAACTTTGTTTTTAATTTCTGAGAAGTTTTTCCACACAATACTAGTTTTGGAAGATCAGAAATAAGAAAAGATGAATGTGTAAGTAGATAGTTATAACCTTCCATTTGATGACATATTCTTCTTCCTTGTCAATAAAGAAAGTGTTAAACTTATCAATCTCTAGCTGCAAGAGGTTAAGGAAGTGGTTGAGTTGGTTGGCATCCATTCGGGATGGAGCTTGCCCATATTCGGAACACATAACTTTCAGCTGTTTCTTCAAGATTTTGTAGCACAAGAACTTGTCACGCCAATCGGGCAAGGTCTGCTCGATCAGGCTCTTGAGGATTTTGTCAAACTTCATGTTTGGCTAATAATCTTTTCCTTACTTATCAGAAGGATGCTTGTAATTGATTGAGTAGGTGGAATGGAAGGGATTGAAAGGAATGAAATACAGGTTTTTATTGGGTTCGGGGATTCGAATATTCTGGCGGAGGGAATGTTGAATTTTGGATATTCTCAATGTTACGAACACGCAAATTCTTAGTTTTCTCCGTCTTTTCCTTAATGGGAGGGATAACGGATTTGTTCCATTCCGATTCTGTTGTTTTTCTTGTCTTGGTAGAAAATAATCTAGGGCAAATCTACGAACCACAAGGCGTTTTAGGATTTGATCACATAATGCCCGAATGTACTGCAGAAGTAGTGGATGGACCACAATATATTATAATTCAATGATTGATGAATCACAATAAAAGATCCATTACACATGGATATTCAAATACATATCCTCTGACTCACATGCTTCTCCTGGAGTATTAGTCCAGTCAATAAAATGCTTAAATGCTTATACAAAAAATTAGTATGAAATTTTTGAATCCATGAAAGATTGGGACTGATATTCCCTCAATTGATATTATTTCTGTTCTATCCATTGTTTTTAAGATGATAATCTATTCTCTTGTTATGTCATTTCTACTTCTGTTTTCAAATAGTTTTACCCATTAGATCTTATGAATGCAGAGATCATCTTGTAAGGTGTGATTACGATATTAATTCTTTCTTCTATATTGCGGAAGCATATTCTTTTATCTCCACTTGGAATAAATGAAAGAAGTCTGAGTGGGATTATGAAAATAAAAAATATTATTAAGAGATCACCACCTGGCATGAGTCACAATCTTATTTAAAAAAATCACCCTAGCCTGCAGCATGTTTAGGATTTTTGAATGAATAAAAACTGTCGTAATTACTTTTGCTCTCTGCTTTTCTGCAAATTTGTGTTAAAATTATATTTCCCTCGATCCTCTCTCCGAGAGGAGGAGCATATTCCTGATCGCTCTCGTTCAGGGACGCAACTAAGATGAATATCTAATCTAGCATCCATTTCAAAATATATTTATTTAATTTTTATAGGAAATATTCATAATTTTAATATATATATATATATATATATATATATATATATATATAAAATCATTCTAATAATTTATTAAATGATTATACAAAAATATTTGAATAAAAATAAATTAAATATTTCTAAAGATCCAATATTACAAGTATAAGTTATCAGTTTCACTACCACAAAGTAATTTCATGACTAACATTAAAAAAAAATCCAGGAAAGTTATCTCTTCTAAAAATCTAGTTATTCAAAATGAATGGATTAATTTATTCATTAAAAAATAATTGATAAAAATCATTGAAGAATATTTATTCAGATAATTAAAAATTACTAGGAGAATATAATAGCATAACAACAATGACTACCAAAAAGTAAGAAAAATTGTTAAAGTTATAGAAGAAATTATGATATAAATTTGTATTTTGTAATTCCATTTTAAAAATAAATATGTTTATGTTTTTCAACAAATCCACAAACAATTATTCATTTATTTATTTGTGTGTCGTCATACTTTTATTTTGTATATCGCCAAATGAGATAACGATACATTTGATTCAAATAATCCCTTTCGTAGAGACTGTTTCTTAAATGTAATTTTTGGATTATGTAAATTGTTTTTACTCACCTTCCATACTTTTCCTAGGATCGTCTTCCGTCTTCCCCTAAGCTATTTGGACCACTTCGCCCCTTTTAGTTAGTCACTAAATTAATTTAATAGTCATAACGTTTTTCAGTCATCACATTTAACAGCTATGGATCTTGAACCATCACTAGTTCAGCATTAGCTCACAGATAAATATTCTAAGTAAAAAGGTACTCAGTTCTATATACGCGCTTAAATGCCTTCACTTTGCAATGATAAATATCAAGCACTTCACATTTTCAAATTTTAAACCAGTGCGAATATCGTAATTGATTGAATTGCATTCAACATTGACAATAATATTCTCTTAAAAAAAAGAATAAAATATTGACAATAATATGTTGATCCAGTAAGGGGCATTCTAACTTGTGCCTGAAGGCGTTTTGGCACCGCATAAATAATGTGAAAATACTTGTGAGATAAAAATACGAGTTTACGTTTAACATATCCAAATGTATGGCTAATTGCTTGATATAAGATCAGTTCTATGTGGGTAGGACAGAAACGATGAAAGAGGCAAAGTCTATATATCTACGGAATTATCTTCCAACGCTGCTACGGAGTGTAATTACCAACAGTGAATGACAATAACATTTAAATAAAAGGGTTCCTAAAAAGATACTCAAGTTACTCCGAAGGAGATTTCATCATATTGTTTACCAACTTCAAACTGTACAACCTTGTTACTTGTTACATGCATTACAATTTACAAGGGAGAAAACCAAGTGAATTTCTTCTTTTTCCCACCTTTTTTTATTCCTTTAAGCCAAAGCCTTAATTTGGAAGTTATCAATCCAACAGCAGCAAGCAGGTTCCAAAATCTAAAATTACTCTTAAAAGAAACAAACTTGTGCATTGGTCTATGTATATCATTCCGTAGTTTGGGTCATTAGAAAGGTTTATCCCTTGTTTCGATTTCATCCGTAAGTAATAACTAACCTTTCAAAGTCATTGAATAATATATGGCCAGCTAATAAAACCGAATTACTTTTGGGGGACCATCAAAGAGAAGAGTACGATGTTAGCCAATAAGCGATATCACAAAGTAAGATTTATACGACTCGGACTTACTGGTAATGTATCCAACTCAAATGTAGTCAATAAAGAGAATATAATTAGCAAGCACACGCCAAATCATTTGTTTCCATTATTATTTCCAGTGCTATATTCCTACTAGAGGAAGATTATCAGGGTACTCCTAGTGGTAAGTAAAAAATTCAGCAGTACATTATAATGTCATGTTACCATCCTAAAAAAGACAATCTGACACGCAAATTCTCCATGTTCTTTCTTTTCTACCTTTTACCCTCTCTGATAATTTTATCCAGATAAAATTTAACTAGGGTAATATACCCATTGATGAAAATTTATATAAAGCTTCTTCCAAGTGATACATAGACAATCATAAGAGAATAAGCACCTACGTCAAAGCTATTGGTCAATCCTGATTCTGAAGAATAAACATACCATCTAACCATCAATCAACAGAGCGATAGCATCCGAGCAAAAAGAAATTTCAAACCTCAAGCACCTCATCGTACACTCCTAACTTCACTCATCCATTTTTGCACCCTGAATTTCAAATGGAAAAAATTAACCAAACTATTTAAATGATTTTTTCTATAGATCGAAGGTATAATTTATATAGCTCATAAATAAATGTTAGAATTATTTGTCGAAAAAGTTAAACAAACAAAGTTCTCCATATAAAAACAAGTAGAATTTGCACAAATACGATATAACTGCCAGAAAATAAAATTTCACATTATTATGAATTACAACATCTATCCAGTAAAATATACCCTTTCTGCAGGCTTTTTACACCTCTCTGCAATCACTTATGACTATTTATTTCAGCTTCACGGCATATAACTTCTACGATGACTTTTTAATTGACATGGAAATTCACCAAAAGCTAACACGGAAGAGCACCACCCATTAGAAGTAAATAGTAGTGTTAAGATATATATGCAAATGGTATTTTGTTGACTTTGAGCTGTCTTAAGTATAGAGATGTCATTAAAAAAAGTATTCTGTCTTAAAGTAGAGAGATGCAAATAAAAATGTTAAGTAGAGAGCTTCTAAACCAAAAGTTTTCCGCTGAAGACACAAATAGGTATGAAAACTCTTCCACAGGCAGAACTGCAATAAGTTACATTAATAGTAACAGTAGAGTCATGGACATTTAGTCATTCAGTAGACAAATTGCCCACAAGCATAGCTAAGATATGCTTTTCAGTGATTATTCGCACAAAAAATACATGTAAAATATAGAATGCTCTTACCGTGTTCCTACTGCACCTTCTTTTCTTTGTTTGAGAGTTTTGGAATCTTGCTTAAAACAATACTGTGAATTTTTTTATACTGAGTCTGAATAGTCCCATATGTAACACACAGTCTGTCATCAACTTGGTCCTGGTACTTGTCATACAACACAGGGAGGGACAAGCTTAGAAGAATACCTGTCCAGAAAGTTATTAAAGAAAAATGAATGCCATCCAAGAGAATTTCAGAAAAGATAGCCTGAACACGGAAAAGCCAAAGAAGCATTGAACTTACAAATATAGATCAAAGTCAAAAAGTTGAACAAACTACCGACGAAAGATATTGCCCACAATCCACCAACAACCTGATTCATCAAGTTCACATAAAGAAGTGTCAACATAAAACTCTGTACCCAATGAGCTTATATTCACAGAAATCAGCATAAAACAAGGATAAGAAGGGAATATAAAGCCATACCTTGAGGCAAAGCAACAAATTCCTCTCAATAGCTATGTCATGTGCAACTGTCAAAGCCCGATTCATCCAAATTTGCACTGCATCAGCAACCCTGGCAACAGTTTCCTCCGAGATCTCCAGATCGGGGAGAGGAGGAAGAGGCCTGCATCATTAACAAACTAATTTCAACTTCAAATGGAAAAAAAAAAAGTACATTCACCGCTACACTACAACATATTAAGCACGACTCAGCATATTCCTTACCGTCATTTCAATTTTCAAGTGTCTAAATATTTAGAAAAGTCTACGTAGCATTTAAATACAATATACTCATTTTCTTGAAACGAAATTATTTTCTATTCAGTCACGAACAGTTTAAAACTTAAATAACAGAAATCAAGTACATGAATCTAGAGGAGACGCAAGACAATTTGGAGGAAGTGCAAAAACAGAAAATACCGATTGAGAAGGTTAGCAGCTTTGGCCCAGAAAAAGAGAATGAGAACGAGAAGCAAGACGACATTGGCGACGAAGGACAAGAAATTGTAACCGGCTCGCTCGAACAGGTACCACAATGTGGAAGAAGATACGAGCAGCGCCGCCGCTCCACGCCAATTCTTCCACAACACCACATCAGCAACTATCACACATAATCAAATCAAATGAAAAACAATAAACTGCGATATTATCTACTATCAAACTACACCGTCAATTGTAACTACGAGTAAAGGATCGATGAGATTGAACGAAATCAGAAAGAGAGAGAACCTAAGCCTTGCCCGAGAAGGCGGTGAACGGAAATCCGTTGAGAATCTCCCATGGTGATTGGGGAAGTTGCGCGGTGTCAGTAATAAACTATCGATATTAGTAACAGTGCGATTACGGTTACGCTGCCTCTTTCTTTCGTTTTTGCTCATCTACTTCACAAGAGGAAAGACGAAAACGCCAAAACGCCATTCGTTCTCAGTTCTAACCTCCTTCGTTCCTGGTCTGGGCTGGGCCCATCTGGCCCATCAAATCGAATCGATACCATTATAGCATTATCACAGATAAATACTTTTTCTTACTCTTTTTACAATGAAAATTAATACATTTTAGAGAATAAATAAACTACACTTATATCTATTACTCTTTAATACAGTAGAATTTAATTTATGTACACTTACATTATAAAACTTTATTTTCATGATAACTGTGATGCCTACGTTACAACATAAGGTATGAGTAATTGGGATGCCTATGATGTTTTATTATTTTTTTTCTAGTGCATTAATTTTAAATTTTTGTGGTAAAATGATAATAAAAATAAGATGAAAAGAGGAAAATATATTTTTTGTTTGATAATCCGAGACTGATTAAATGTTTCAAAAAAAACTTAATCCTTGTCTCAGAATTTGAGCATTATGTTGAGAAAATATTCTCCAAAAATTAGCTATACCACACGTTATGAAGGAAGATAGTTCAAAACAATTGTTGAGGATTACTTTTGAAACTTGTGATTAAATTTTTTTAATTCAGAAGCACAACATTTCAGAACCAATTTTGAAAAATATTTCATTGAAATGATAAAACAAAATCACTTTTAAATGCATAAGTATAAGTATGATTAATAAGTTAAATTCTTAAAACTATTTTTGTTAAGAAAAAAGTTAAAAGATTTTCTATTCTCATAAATTGCTTCCCCCTGTAGCAAAATGAAATTATAAAAAAAAAACGAATTAATCTGGATATTTTAGGCATCCGATCTCGCTAAGTTGATTTGTGCACCATTTTGTGTTATCATTTACTTTCATTCTACGTCACTAAACTCAACTAGTTGCAGGCTGATTTCTTTTTGATAAAAAAAGCTTTTAAGATTTGTTCTCTAACTGCATCAATTTTGTTGCTTGAAACAATATATAGCATCCCTTTGGAACAAACACAGAAATCACATTTGGGATATAAATAATGAAAACCCAGAGTCATGGCTGTGTTTTAACTAAGGCAGATATGCCCACCAACCACCAAAAGCTTGTGTCAAGTTGCTGCCTCCTCATTTTAATCAGAGTCTCCATCACTTGAGCAGTCTTCTTTCTCTCGCTGCTGTTCTCCTTCCGCATTTAATTTGATCTTTTTCTCCTTTTTCCTTTGCTTCTTCTTTTGACGCTTTAATCGTTTTTTTGCTGTCCTTTCCTCTGCGGCTTTTAATCTTTCCTCTCTTCTCAAATTAAATTCTGCCAACTCTTTTCTTCTCTGGTAGTCAACTTCCATCCTTGCAAGACGATCTTGTTCCTTGCGTCTCATCTGCCGATACTGTCGGAAACAGAATTTGAAGCACATAAGAATAACAATCAGAACAACATATCCATTACCTTACCAACTACGACACAAAAAAAAAAAAAACGGGTATCAAGCCAGTTTACATAAACTTCTTAACAAAGGAAAAGAAAATAAAACGACTCGAACTCCTCAGATAGGTTAAAACCAATTTACGAATCACAACATTTTAAAAGCTTCCTCGTCTAATTTCTGGATAAAGCACTTGTGAGCTCAACAGAGCTTGGGATTCGTAATAGAAAAATCTTGAGAGCAAAACTTTACCATTGAAAAGATCCCACAGACTAGAAGCTAGGTTATGGCATCAAGATTCAAGTCATGAATTGCCTAGCTATTTTTTTATTTGGGAATCCTAATTTTCTATTGAATAGTAAGATTCGTGTACAATGAAAATCACTTCAAATATATTATCATATAGATGATATATAGTGTTCGACATAAACAATTAAAACTAGAAATGGATAAAAACAACTTATGTAGAAGTCATACTTTAAGTCTTTGTTTTAGAAGAATCAAAACGAAGCAATTAAATAGCTAAATAGAATGCATGTATTGAACAAGTGAGTGCCACATAAATGTGAAATAATCAAATAAGGCAAGTTCACAATTGTTCTTTCAAATTCCTTTTCATTTAAAAATTTAAGCTCATATGCCTTGTTATTTTTTTTTTTCATGATACTTAGTGAAATGTAAAAACATATGAATCTTATAAGGGATACAAATTTAATAGATTCATTCATGTATCGTAAGATACAAAGTCATTTAAGATTCATTTTGAGATACATAACTGTAGATAGCCAATATGTATCAAATCGTAAGATTTGAATCGTGGATCATAAGATTCTGAGAACTATCAACTGAGCCATCACAAGTTAAATAAACCCAAGTGTACGGGCAAGTACTTCAAAATGCAGGCCTAGATTGTTAAATATCACTAGAATTATAAGATATTCCACGGATAGAAGTCTTAAGAAACAAAACTCAGGACAGTGCAAACTAAGTGCATGAAAGGATACCTTAACATTAATGGACAAGGTTGACACGTCACATAAACTCGTGCAGCTAATGTAAAATTAAGTTTTAAAAACTCATAAGAAATTACTCCAAATAAAAATATATTAAAAGATCCATTACCAACATATGTGCATAACATAATATTCTTAACACAACAAACATTTCAACTCCATAATAAGCCAATGTAGCAAACCACATTAGTAAAACGCACATTATTACTAAATAAGATCAAATTATATAAATGATCAAATCATACATAACTTCATAAAATCATAAGTTTCTAAAGTGAAAGCATTTCATAAAGGAGTTAATTCCTTCAAATCATTTTAACTCCAGCAAAACAATTTCACCATGGGGCAAAAGTTACATTTGATTTCAAACTCGCTGACTTGTTTCCTAACTAAACTTTATGCAAGTAAGTTTACACGAGTTTAACTTGTTTGCTTGTGTTTATCCTGAGAAAGGTTGAACAAGAAGTTAACTATTTTGTCTTACTGGACCATAAATTCATAGGAGTCTACAAGTTAATTCTAGGGAGCTCCACAACAATATTAATGAAACTCAATAACAAGGCAGCTTCTAAAAAATAAAAAAGAGCAAACACCCTTGATCATCCTATTTCGGGTACATTACACTGTTTCCTTCAGAATCAAATTACCAGTTATAGTGGGTAAACCCATAACTCATCTACGAACAATAAAACTCACACATTGAAATATGATGGTTTTACCAACCAGTACACATCTAACTTCTAAACGAACTAGAATATTACTCTAAAATCTTAAACTCGTAAGAGTCAATGAGGTTTCTAAGTTAAAAACTCAAAAGCACAAATTTCTTTGAGATTCCTTCCTAACTCATTTGGCCAAGTTTATTTCAAACAACTTGAACCCTGCCATCTGAACCCGGCACTTGTTAACCAACAAGACACCTCGCGCGCACCTTCATCTCATAGAACTTCCTCAGTTCCACTAAATACAGTGTCTTTCCAAACCTCTCTCCGAACGCGACGTGTTTTCATATTTCAACAGCGTATGCGGTATCACCACCGGAGCGATCTAAGAGCACTTCAATCGGGGTATCACTTCAAATTGCTTTTGATATCTCGTTTGAATCCCAAAACCAACGAATGATAATTAAAAAGCAGGCAAAGCTATATCCTCAACTAAAAAAAAAAGAAGAAGCAAAAATACCCCAATCCCATTATCAAACACGAACAATATTTTTGTCTGGAGCTAACTCAAGCACAAGAGATAGTTTTTATTAAGATAAAGGAAAAAAGCAAATGTACCTGGTGGAAGTCGCCGGAGCCTGAACCGGCAGAACTACCAGAAGTGTTGCTAACACGAACAGGAACATTGTCAATAATTCGTCGGAGCTTGACTTCTAGGTCCTCATCTTCCTCCTTGAAAACGGGCGGAGTATATTCCACTATCGCACTCGATGCAGCTGTTGGCGGAAGGGGCGGCTTCGAATTTCCCGGTGCTGCGACTATCTGAAAGTCACCATCTCTGGGTTTGCCCGTCGACATTTTGGGGAGTTACCAAAGCCCTAAAATTTCAATTTAGACCTAAACCCCTAATTCTGAATACAAGGTTGATTGAGTTGTTTTAAGACCCAAATTCCAAATAGTTGTTCTTCAGACCCTTCGAATTACACGGGATAGAGGCAATGACACAGTTGGGTCGGTTTCTCTCTGAATCACAAGCATTTCACAATTTCTTTCCAATCCCTCTTCGTTTCAAGTTGAAAAAGAGGCTTATCCTACTATGCTAATAATCGAAAAAAAAAAAAAATATATATATATATATATATATATATATATATATATATATATATATATATATATATATATATATAACTTTTACAAGTGGTAAGATTATTTTCAATATTTACAGATACATGATTTAACTGTTAAAAAAAATACGTTCTTTATTAAATTAGTAGGGACATTCTCTCAATATATTTACAAATGTATATAAAAAAAAAACTTCCATGAGACGTTCTGGTTAAATAAACGAAATTAATATGATAATCTTTTTGTTTGCAAGTTTCAGATATTGATGATATCAATTTTATATATAATTACTAGAAATTCAGGCACTATGATTTTATATAACATAGCTTACCACATGCGTAATGTTAGATATTGATTTTAAGGAAGAACAATCAATTTCATTTATTACTTATTTTACATGAATCAGATAAAACAATTGATGCATTAAAAAATAATTAAAAAATTAGGATTAAAAATAATTTAAAAGTTAAACGAAACTTGAGTTAATAAAAAACTATAATAAAATATACTATCACTGATTTTTGTCATGATACTATTAAAACTATTAAACTTAAAAAAAGATGAAAATTGGAATTTTTGAAATACATAAAAAACTTTGTGGAACTCTTAATTTAACTAATGATCTGGGAAGTACTTTGTTAATTATTACATAGATATAAACCAGATAATTTCAAAGTCAAACAAAATGAAAATTGATTTAAAAAAAATGGATCGAAATTGAGTTCAAAAATCAATATAATCTTATCCAGAACAAAATTTTAAAGTCTTGTTTTTAATTGTTGAAGAAAAAGACTTTTTAACTAGAAATTACTTCAGACAGATATGGAAAACCCTTAATTATATCCTTCTTTTGTGAACTGATTAATTGACATTTAATTTGATACATTATAATTTTCAATCAACTAAAATAATTTCAACTATTAATCTTAAAACAAGTATAATAAAAACTAGCAATACGTATGTACGTACGTATTGTGTATGATTCGATTTGTGAAGGCTTTTTTCTCGGTAGTAAATTAGAGTGGGTCAGACAAAGGTGATTAGAGTCCAGTACCGAATTTGTAAGCGGCCCAGGTTGGTGGTGTAGTCGTTTTACTTTTCAGTCCTTGGCCATCCCATCTCGCATCTGAGAGAGTTGGAGGTAGCTACCGGAGAGAGAAACAGAAAGAGATCGCACTCAACAACACGTCACAGCACAAAAAAGAATAATTGAATCGTGAATCGTTTGCAGAAGTAGAGGTAAAGGAATTGAGAAGAGAAGGAGTCACCGAAACCGAAGATGTTACCCACAGCTTCCAAAGGACGTTCTTCTTCTTCCTCCTCTTCCTCTCGACCTAATAATCCCATGCTGCTTCCCTACCTGCGCAGAATCATCAAGGTTCCGATCTCTTCCTTTGATTTTCCGATTTGTTAGACATACTTCGTGCACCACTCTAAGATGCAATTCACGCTTTTATCTCTCCCTTTCCTTCTTACATCCTAAATGCCATTGCTTAAATTACCAGGCGTGGGAGCCAAATTGTTAGATTAGGCTCATTTCCTCAATGTTTCGGTTTCAAATTGAATAGGTTGGATTGTGTTGTTCTGATTGGAAGAGTCCGAGAGGCGTGTGTGTTCAATCTGTGCTGATTAGTTTGTTATTCGTTGTAGTGGCAACAAATGGATATTGAATATACTTTTTGGCAAATGCTTCATCTATGTACGTCACCGAAAGTTGTGTAAGTATATGTAAAGCAAATCATCGTTTGTCTGTCCTTCCCCTTTCTGTTGCCAATGAAATTTGCGTTTTATTACCTTGATCTAACGCAATAGCAATGTGAACCCACTTTTGTGAGACATATTACATTGCGTATTCTCACGGTTCTTGGTCGGGTAACCCTTCTGTTTTGGTGTATTTGAAATCTTCTATATCTGGTTCTCTGATTGCTTTTTCGGTGTTGTTGTTGTTGGTGTGGAACTGAACAACGGATGCAGCTATCAGCATACTAAATATCACAAACGTAAGTCTATGTCTTGTGATTTTTTTTTCTTTTGATATATTGTTGCACATTTTTTAACAGTGATTGGTTTAGCAATGTTTATTAAGCTTTTGTTTTACTAGGCCATGTTCCTTAATTAGCATTTACTTGCAATAATTTATAGTACATTAGGAACAATAACTAGTTGCCATTAGTCTATGTATATTTCATGCAGTATCAGGTTGGAAATGCATTAGTCTAGAGTTTATATAAAATTTTGGAGCATCCATAAACTTGACTAGCAGGCCTAAGACAAAATGTATGTAAAACTTCTCATAGCAATGAGGAAGAGTACAATAGAAAACAGGCAACATAATAGTGCTCTAGTGCTTATCACCTAGTACAGCAAGGCATGATAGATTACTTTGGATAATCGTTAATGGCTATATCCAAAAACACATAACGAGGAATGTGCATTGAATCTGGATTGAAAGTACAAATAGGATGGATGATAGGGATTAAAAAACACTCTCAAATACCTCAAATTATATTAAAACTCACTGAGTGGAACTAAACAACAATAGAATCAGAAAACAATGTGAAGTATTAATAAATAGTCCTTATAACATAAGGCGCACTTGGCAAACACCCCAATATGCAGGTAGCGGTCCTTCTCTAAGGCAGAACCCTTTCCAACCTCCTTCTGGATTCCTCCCCTCCTCTTTTCCTGCATATTTCCCTTCCTCCAATTATTTTATAATCCCCATTTCCAACCAAATGTTGCCATCTGTCCATCTTGTTATTATACCCATCATGCTTTCCCCTAACTGAGAATCCTCTTGTTTTTTCAATTTCCTTCCTCTCCTTTTCCTTGTATAGACTTGGACAACCAGTGGTCTATCAATGGATTTTGAAATACAACACAAACAGACCTGGATTTTCTTAAAGAAATAGCATGTGACAGGCTCATTGGCATTTACTAGTTGTAATAGGTCCATACTTAAAATAAATTGCTAGGTTGGTAACTATATATTTGATATTAAATACTTAAAAAAGAAATATTTTCTTTCTTGGTTCATGAATGAATGCTAAAAATATTTTTATAGTGTGGCTTGCTAGGCCACAAGCAGAAAGGTTTGGTTGTTTTGTTTTCCTTGATGTGAAAATGATGCTTTGAAGGTGTGAGTTCAAAATGTTGTCATTATTTTGAGTAATTTGTAATTTGCATCTTATATCAGACTCATGGACTCCGTACTTAATTTGTGATTCTATTTGAGTTTCGAGTGAATGGGAATCTGAATGAGTCCAGTTGAGTCTATCATGAAATGAGTTTGGAGTTGAGTCTGTTTGATTTCTCTACTTAAAACTGTAGATTGTTATGGTTCTACAAGCTGACTCATGGTCTTGAACACCATGATCAATGGATTATGCCAATAACATCATTCATTGATCTTATGCTGAAATTCCTTATATATTGACTGATAAACTGTTTGCACTTACTTAGGACGATAGCGTTTCTGCTTAAACAAAACAGGTTATGACCAGTCTTGTTTATTGATTGATTTGGGTCTTATCAAACTATCCCCTTCCTTTTGCACGAATCTCTTTTTATTTTTAATTTTTATGCATGCATTTAAGCATATATATATTCTTACGGCAACTGACAGACACAACCAATAATGGGATAAAATTTAATAATTTCACAGCTCGCCTTTCTTCCAAGTAAATTGCCTTTGAATCCGTAAGTTAGATCTTTGGAAGCAATCTGCTTTTTGAGGATGAGTCATGAAGAACTGTGGCTTATTATTAGGCTTGCAAATCAACTTATTTTAGTGATATATAATGATCTAAATGTTTCAGAGAAAAAAACACTGTGGGGTTAATTGTATAATTAATGTCTTTGATTTATCAAATTAGGAAATTTCACGTGGTGATTTCAAAAAATTGTTTAATTGATTTTCTTCTCATTGTTTGATATTAGAAACCAAGAATCAATGGGCACGTGATGACCCTGCATTTGTTGTGATCTGCAGTCTTCTTTTGACAGTTGCAACTTTGGCTTATTGTGCGGCGTAAGTTTTTTAAACATTTGATAGTGGTGGCTTCTTGTGGACAAGCAGCCAAAACTCACTTTACTTTTGTAAAACAGAAAGAATATGCAAATGAGGCTGATATAAATCCTTGTATTTCATTTGGTTAACTGAAGGATGATCATTTTTTAAAAACTTCCCTTATAAAACCAGTCTATTGATTTAGAGTTTAGTATGTATCAATTTTTAAAATTGCATATCATGAACCAAGTTTGTAGTGTGTTTAGATTATTCACTGTAAATTTAGTTTATATTTTTTCCCACTCTGCCTCAACTAATTTTTTGTATCATATTTTCCCATATATTTTCAGGTATGACCATAGCACTGCCCATACAGTTCTTGTTATCTTCTCAGTGTTGTGTTTCCACTTTATATTGACTGGTGTATTCCTAGCAACTTTTTGTTGGTAAGGATACTTCCTGTAGTAAAGATTCATCATTTTTTTTAATCACTTGATCTTGATGCCAATGCTAGTGCATATTATCCGTGTATTCTTCAGGTTCCTGACTAATTCTTATCTTCGAGAAGAGGCTCCAAATAGCTATGTGGTTGAACAACGTGTTGAATGGTAAGTTCAGGAAATTTTGTGCCTGTTTCGTGTATTAATTTAGTTGTTTGCTTCTTGAATTTTGAGAACAGTTTCCAATATTTGCAATGCTTGTTTAAATGTTTGATCAATTGATAAGCAAGGAATTGAATTGACCCTTGCCTTAGAATTTTGTTAATTATTTTTCAATAGCTGATCATATTTATTTTGGTTTTTCATGGAAGGATGTATGCATTTGATGTCCACTGCAACTCTTTCTTCCCATTGTTTGTTTTGCTCTATGGTAATTTCTGACTCTTTGGTTAGTGTGAACTGTTCTGATATAAGAAACTACAATATCTTGCATTAGAGTGGTACTGATGTCTGGTCCCCTGTATTTTGTAATATCTTGCAGTCATCCATTATTTTCTATCTCCTCTATTGGTGGCTCATGGTTTCATTCCAGTATTGCTGTCAAATCTTCTGTTCATGGTGGGAGCTTCATACTATCATTATCTAAATTTCCTAGGTTATGATGGTAACTCTCGCTCTCTCTCTCTAATTGTTTATTTACTATATATATATATATATATATATATATATATATATATATATATATATATATATATATATTATAAGATACAGCCACTCTTACACTGTTCAACAACTTTTTGCTAGATTATTTTATCCCCGAACTCACCATTAGATTAAAAGTACACTTTGTATAAATTATATGCAAAATAATAGAAATTCAAAAATTACTTGATACCCTGTATATGTATAACAAAATTAATGTAATGTATACATTTAAAGTATATGAAAATAAGAATCAGTTAATTATCTTCATTCAATTTTTGTAAGATTTAACTCGAATAATCTCAGTAATATATACTTTCTTTAGTCCTATATGAATAGATCCCTTTAACTGCTTCACAAGAATTAAAGAATATAGGTAATTTAGTTAATGACATTAAATTTGTTAGTAATTTGTATAATTTTTCCATAATTAACCTTAAAACCATTTGAATTCCATTTTTTAATCTATTTCTACCTAATTAATGAATGCATCTCCACTTAAGGGAATTTTTGCAAAAAAATAAAATCAATGTGGTAAACAATGAGGGAATCTTATAAAAAAAAAACATGAATATATTTAGTCCTTGTAAAATTAACGAGTTTTGATTTTGGCTCCTATAAATTTTTTTCTGTTTTTCATCCCTATAAATTTAAAATAACTAATTTAGCCCTTATAGAATGTGTGAATGTTGATTTTAGTTCCTATAAAATGTTTTTTCTCTAATTTTCTTCCTCCAAAATTTCCAGTCACTATTTTAGTCCCTAACATTCTTATGAAAATAAATAATATTTATTTACTGATTGTAGGAGTTTTATTGAGGTGTGATATGCTGACATTATTTTCACAACACTATTATGTGTCCCTTTAGAATGGCCACTTGACCTTTTATTCAACATATAAGCCATTGATTAGTGTCATATAATACTAGGTATAGAAATTAGTGATTTTCAATTTTAGAGGGGCACACAACAAAGAAAACAATATAGAAGGACCAAAACAAGAAAACCAGTCATTTTAAAGGAACTAAAAATATATTTAAGTCTAAAAATAATCAAGACAGATTCCCATAAGATTGTTATAATAAGGACTGGAGGTTGTAGCTACAATTCAATAGTTAGATCATGAAAATCACATTTTATACGAAGTTATTGATTGTGTGAGAATGATTGTCACTTATATTGGTGTAAGTTAATTTGTCCTTATTGAGATCAGGTCATAATATTTTTTTAGTGTAATTTCCTTGTGTATGGCTGTTTTTCATGAAAGGTGTCTTATGGCTATAGAGGCTGGATCCTCTAATTAAGCTCTTCATAAATATGTTCATTTGCAGTGACTCTGTTTTAATTCTTGCCAATTATACTGTAGAAGTCAGTTATTTCCGCTATTGAATATTTGCAGCAAGTACCATTTCTCTGTTTTTTACTCTGAAGTCCCTTTTGTATGATGTGGAGAAAAAATTCATATGATGAGGGTCTGTTGGGATGTATGGTCAGCATAGTGAATAAGTGTATATTAAATTTTTGGGTAAATATGTTTGCTAAGTATGTATATCTCTGAAACTACATGTTTTTGTTTTGAGTGTGTGGGAACTGTGAATACCGTTGAATTTATTCGATTAACATTTCTGGTTGTAGTTCTGCCTTTTTTGGAGAGGACCACCTTTTTCCTGTACCCCATTGGCATCGTAATTGTCCTTTCTCCCATTTGTAAGTATTTAGTGTGCCTACCATTTCTGTTCTTTCATGAAGGGTTAATATTGCAGCTGAACGAAATTTCTTGTTTGCAGTGATTTTAAGTGGGTTCAATCCTTCTAGATACTTTATGAACATGTACTTCAGTCGACAAATATAATGTTCCAGCTAGAACTTTTGACCTATCGGTGTCCTTGAGGTTATAGAGTATTCGGAAAACTACAACATGAGAAGGCTTTAATGAATGTTTGATTGTTTGTTTGAAGAATGCAAAGGCCCAACAATGTCTCATTTTAGTCCTTCTAATACTACTACCAATCAAAGTTGGACTGTAGCAAGTCAGGGTAGTCAGTGTATTTTTTACAGTTATTAGATAGAATATTTGTTCAAATGAATATACTCATTGTAATGAATTTTCTTTGTCAATCCGGTAGCTTTCCTTACGACAAAGAACAATTTCTATTGATATATTCTTTAATGAGGTTAGATACTTACTCCACAAATGAAAGGTCGTCGCCTCTACATTAGCCCTTGTCACATAAGCAGTCATTGTTTACTTATTTGAGTTTCATTAGAAGCCACTCAAACCAGGTACCAGTAAGAGTTCGTGAAGACCTGGTCAAAGCCGGGGAGGGGGCATTTTGTATGTATGATGTGTGCTCGTTATGTATTTTATCTGTCTGAATATTACTTCACTGTGAGGAGTTTGGTGGTTCAATGGCGAGTAGGGGCTATTTATAAAACTACTTCGATGCTTTTTACAATGTTAAACCAATAGGTTAATGATGTATGAAAAATATGTGTTTACCTAATGTCTCGCATGTGGTCTATTTATAGGATTACATTCATCATCAATATTTTTTGTTTTAAATAATTAGTCATGAAATTTGGTCACTAAATAATTTTTCAACCAAAATTTTGGTCGTAAAATTATTAGCAACTATTTATATTGTTGATATTTTTGTTTTAAATCAATTAGTGACAAAAACTTTGTTACTAATATTTTTTTCTAATTAAAAAGTGACTAATATTTTAGTCTTTAAATTATTAGCAACCAATTTTTGGATTGTTATATTTTTAATAGTCAAAATAATATTTTTATTTTAAATCAATTGGTGATTGTGATTTTGGTCACAAAATTATTAGTGATCAATATTTTTTGTTTTGAACAAATTAATCATAAAAATTTGATTATTATAAATCATAAACCAATATTTTTGTTAATATTTTTGTTTTAAATTAATTAGTAATTAATATTTTGGTGGCTACATTATTAATAACTACAATTTTAAAAATTTAATTATTAGCAACCAAGATTTTGTATTAAATAACTTAACGATCAAAATTTTGTTTTAAAATAACGACCAATAACTTAATACCAAAATTTTGGTTATTATTAGTATCACTAATACTTTTCTTTTAAATAAATTAATATAAAAAACTTAGCGATCAAAATTTTATTTATTAAACTATTACCAATCAATATTTTTGTCGTTAATATTAATGAATAATATTTTGATGGTTAATATTTAGCAAATAATACTTTCGCAACTAATATTTTTGTTTTATATATTAGCAACCAAATTTTTGGTCATTGAACTATTCATAACCAATATTTTTGTTATTAATATTTTTATTTTAAATCAATTGTTGATGAATATTTTATTGTTAAATTATTAATAATCAATGTTTACATCATTAATGTTTTTATCTTAAATAACTTAACTATCAAAATTTTGATTGTTAAACTCTTAGTAACCAATTTTTTTGTCATTAGCAATTTTGTTATAATTAATAATTGTCAAATTTTTTTGTTAAGCTCTTAGAAATTAATATTTATGTCATTAATATTTTTATTTTAAATTACTTAATGACTAATAATTTAGTCGCTAAATTATTAAGGACCAACATTTTTAATGTTAATATATTTGATTTAAATATGTCAGTTGTCAAATTTTGCTCACTAAATTATTAGAGATCAAATCAATATTTTAATTGTTAATCTGATTATTTTAAGTCAATTAGTGATGAACCCAAAATTTCCTTCAATATTTTATTATTATTATTATTATAAATCAACTTGTGATTAATATTTTTTGTCTCTAATTTAACGATAAATATTTCTGTTGCTGATATTTTTGTTTTAAATAATTTAACCAAAATTTTAGTGGCTAAAATATTAGAGATCAAACAAATTTTTTATTGTTAATTATTTTGTTTTGAATACGTTATTAGCCACATTAATTTATTATTAATATTATTATTTTAAATTAATAAATGATTAATATTTTGGTCATAAATTATTAGTGACCAATATTTTAAATAACTTAACAATCAAATATATATTTTTGTTGTTAATATTTTTGTTTTAAATTAATTAATGACTAATATTTTCGATAGTTAATATAATGACCAAGAATTTTGTTACTAATATTTTTATTATAAATAATCAATGACCAAATTATAGGTCACAATCTTTTTATCGTGAATATTTTTGTTTTAAAAAATTTAGTGACTGAACCAATATTTTTCTTTTGTATTATTTTTATTATAAATCAATTTATAATTAATATTTTGGTTGCTAATTTAGTGACTAGTTTTTTTAAAATGATTTAACAATCAAAATTTATGTGATTAAAATATTAAAGATTAAAGTTACTAATATTTCTATTTTAAACAACTTAACAACCTTAGTTGTTAAATTATTAGAGGCCAAATCAATATTTTTGTCATTAATAGTTTTATTTTAAATTGATTAGTAATTAATATTTTGACAGATAAATTATTAGTCCCCAATATTTTTGTGGTTAATATTTTTGTTATAATTAACTAAAATATTATTTGTTAAATTATTAATAACCAATTATTATTTTTTTGCTAATATTGAGTGATCAACCTACTATTTTCTTTAGTATTTATTTTTTTAAAATAATTTTTCCATTAATATTTTGGCCACTAACTTAGTGACCAATATCATTGTGACTAATAATTTTGTTTAAAATAATTTAGCAGTTGAAAATATGGTCATTACATTATTAGAAATTAAACCAAAATTTCCGTCACTGATATTTTTATCTTGAATTTAAAACCAATATTTTGTCACTAAAATATTAGTTACCATTAGTTTAAGGTCAATATTTTATTTTAAATCAATCAATGATTAATATTGAGGTGTTAAATTATTATTTATCAATATTTTTATTTTAAATAATTTAGTGACCAAATTTCTTCATTAAATTATTGAAAATCAAACTAATATCTATGTTATTAATATAGTTGTTTAAAATCAAATAATGATTAATATTTTGGTCGGTAAATTATTTGTAACCAATATTTTTATCGCTAATATTTTGATTATAAACTAATTAACTACTAAAATTTTGATATAATTAGAGATTAATATTTTCACTAGTAATATTTTTTATTTATATAATTTAATGACCAAAATTTTGGTCGTAAAAATTAGTAGAGAAATAGAATATTTAGATTAAGAAAAATATAATAGAAAAAAAACATAATGTGAGAAAAATGTGAGGAATAAAATGAAAGATAGATGAATAAAGTGAGAAAAAAAAGTTGAAAATTATGATGAAGGTAAATTTTGTTTGGTTAAAAAGATAAAGTGAATCTTTGGTTATTATTATTATTATTATTACTATTATTATTATTATTATTATTATGTTATTGTTATAATAAAATATGAATTCCGCTAATGATATTTTGATTTTCTTTTTATATATTTTAATTTGATCAAACCATTAATATTATTTCATTTTCACTCATTTTCCTTTCTCTCTTCTTTGATTTTCAGCTTCTCAAACATACTCAAAAGAAAAGTAAAGTTTATATAATGCGAGTGTTGTTGATAATCATTCACATGGGAAAGGAAACAAAAAAAAGGATAATCTGGACAAGCATTGGCATATGGCGGCACTGGCATTATTATTATTATTATGCCATTCTCATTCACAAGAACCACTCAAATACACACTTTGTAGGACCCATACAAAATACCATGCCAAATTCTAAACAATAATGGTTTAAATTTAACTTCTCATGCCCCCTTTCAATCATTTTAACTATATAGCATCCTTTATTAAATCATAAAGAGTCCTTGGTATGACACAAAGTCAAATGACATTGAATTTCATATGTTGTTATACTTTTTATTATTTATATTTATTTATTTTTTGCTTATATTTTTTGTCAATTAAATATTTGTATAGTTTAGATTTAGAATTCAATTGAACCACAATAAAATAGAAATACAATATATATAATTATGAGAATAATGAAAACTATAAATTATTTAAAATAGAAAAAAAAAACTCAATATCTATATTTTAAAACAAAGAAGGTAGAACCTCAAGTACAAAGAAGATTATTTGGGATAGGTAAGTGTGACTCAGATCAGAGAATGTCTCATTGTCAAAGATTAGGTAACCCACTCATATCCAATTTTTTCTTTTTTTTCTCTTTCTTTTCATGGCCGAACAAATCAATATTTAACACAACAAAACCAACTTTGGTGGTTGTAGAAGTAGAGTAGTATCTTTGGCATTCCACCATAATTTCATATAAAATATATAATGAAAGGCATGAAACCAAAACAGAGAAAACAGAGCACTCTTCTTAATAAACAAACACAACTTTAGTTCAATTAATTAGTTAAACAGTGCAGAATCTTGGTAATGGAAGATGTTGAGCGTGCCAGTGGTTCTTGTATTTTACTTATATGCTTTTACTGATCAAGTTTGCTCCCTTTAACATCCACAACAAACCTGTATCTCACATCGTTCTTCTCCAACCTTTCAAAGGCCTTGTTAATGTAATCTATGTTTACCACTTCAATCATAGAACTCAGTCCCTTCTCTTTCCAGAACTCCAACATCTCCTCTGTCTCCTTAATGCTCCCAATGAAACTTCCAGTTATTGATTTCCTCCCTGAACAACACCAACAGACATCATGAACATTGCAAAATTAGAAAAACATATGATGAGTTGTTCACTAAAATTTGTACAAAGAGTAACAGAAAAGCGACCCCAAAAGCGAGAAAGAGGGTGGCATAATTACCTAGCATGACCATGGGGGAAACAAATTGCAGAGGGGTGTTGATGACTCCCATCAAGATCAACTTGCCATCAAGTTTGAGCAAGGAGAGATAAGGCTCAAGAGGGTGACCAACAGGCACTGTGTCAATGATGTAGTCAAGTGAATCAGCAGCTTCTTGCATAGCAGTGGTATCAGAGCTAACAAGATATTGGTCAGCTCCAAGGTGTTCAAGTGCCTCCTCTTTCTTCTTCTCAGAAGAACTTATCACAGTCACATGGTGTCCCAGTGCCTTTGCTATCTTCACCCCCATGTGTCCCACTCCTCCTAGCCCCAATATTCCACCCCTCAGCCCTCTTTCTTTCAGCCCAAAATGTGACAGTGGACTGTACACAGTCACACCCGCACACAACAAAGGTGCAACCTGCTCTGGCGTCAAACCCTCGGGAATTTTCACCACAAACCTAACACCCAAAAATGCACAATCAATTTTCAAATTGTTGTTCATACCAAGTTAATTTTTGTGATCAAAGTTTATATGCTCAGATCCTAGACCAAGACTGCAGATTTTAAAACTCCTAAAAAGTTAAAATTGAAATAGTAATTAATAAATTACTTTTGCTCAACGATCATGGTTTCAGCAAAGCCACCCTGAGTGGGCTTTCCATCGATGTAAACATCATTGTAAGACCAAATTTTCTTGCTGCAATATTGCTCAATGTCTGATTGGCATGGCCTGCAGTTTTTACAGCAACCTACGAGGAGTCCCACTCCAACCACCTCACCAACTTTGAACCTGCTAACATTAGACCCCACCTCCAGTACCTCACCAACCACTTCGTGTCTGGAACAAAATTCATCGTTGGTAACACAAACAAACACAAACAAAAAACGACAACAACATAGATAACAAGCACAATTAGAAAGAAAGTTAACGCGTGCATGTACCCGGGGACCATGGGATAATTGGACATGCCAAGATCGTTTTTAATCTGGTGGAGATCAGAATGGCAAATTCCACAGTAGTAAACTTTGATGTAAACATCATCAGGGCCAGTGTTTCTGTAATTTTTTTTTTTCATACAACAAATGCTACCCATAATCAGAAGCAATAATAGGTAAGATAACAACACTAAGTAATAAAATTTAGAAACACAAAATTAAAATAGATAGAACTTAAGATGACCTTAGATTGTAAGTGTACGGAGAGAGAATCCCAGAAGGGTCTCTTGCTGCCCATCCCACTGTCGTTCTTTCCTCTTCAAGGCTACCCATTATTTTGTTTTCTTTTTTCTCCTTCAAAAGGTTAACACTGAAGAGAAATTACAATGTGGTGAAGGAATGAAAACAAATATAGGAGTGAGCTTGGACTTAGTTGGTGAGTTACTTTGCAAAGATGCGTACATATAAAGGGTGCTTTAGCGAACAACTCAGGAATCAATCAACATAGGTCGTGGGACCTTTCTGCGGTAGGTAAGAGAGTGGAGCAGTTGTTTCGTAGGGTACGTTACTCCCTCTTCTTCTGCACCATCATGCCTTGGATTCATCCATGTGTGTAAAAGTAGTGCCATTTAATGGTCTCGATGCTCTTTCCCCCAATAACTTCCATGTCTGCTTCACAACCTTACTTTTCATCCCCTGCTTTCCTTCTACGTATTCATCCTTTTCCCTTTTTTTCTCACACATTTCCCGAATAAAGCTTCTCTTTTTTTTTTTTTTTTTTTTGTTGTTGCAGCAAATAGGGTGATTTGGTTGAATATGCAAAGATATATTTAAGGGATTTAATATTGGAAGACCCCGTGTCTCATGTCATAGGTTAGGATATGGTTTAAATATCTTTTAAGTTATTTAACGTATTAAAATTGTATTATTTGATTAAATTATCTAAATAAATAATATTATTTTGTGAGAAAATGATTCTTTATTTATTTATTTATTGTATTTATTATGATTACTTCCTATCATTTTGTTTGATTTTAATTTGAAGTACTGAATTTTTTTACAATGTTTATGTTTATATTAATCATCTACTCTTCAAACTTTGAAGTAGTGGTTCTGTTACAAGATGTTGTCGGATGGCGTCATGCATACGTCATACGTTTGTCAACTAACTCTGAAATTTTATTTTATTTTTTTATTAAAAATAGTCACATAATTTATTTTTCAAAATTAATTAAATTTAAGTTAAAAAAAATAAAAATTATATTTTTCAAAATAAATTTTAATCCGACTTGTTTACAAGCTTTCGCCTACTTCCAAAGAAACTGCAATAATTAATAAATAATTGATGTTACAATTTATGAGTAGGTGAACTAATTTTACAAATTACAAAAATATTAACCAAAGAGTTTATGGGTCCACTTCATCGCTTTAGTCGTATGTAATATTATCTTTGACTTTATAATTCAATTTTAAATTCATATACTTTTATATGAATGAAGTTTATGTAAATAACTATTTTGTATTTATGTTTGATGATAGATTAAGTACTGAAAATTAATTTCAAACTATTGCGCTCACAGTATCAAATAATTAATAATTATTTAATTTTTTTATAAAATTCTTCATTCACTTTAGACCATGATTAATTCGAATCAAATAAGATAGATATATTGAAGGAAGTAAATTTTCTCAAGTATTTTTTCAATATTTTTCTTAGCTCGTGAACCGAATTTCTTGTCACAACGATAACACGTTTGATAAAAGTTTTTACTAGATTACAAACATTTTGTATTATTCTTACTCTATTTTCTTCTTTTTAAAATTTGTTCATAAAAATTAATATTTAAAACTAAAAATAGAACGAAGGTTACAACTTTATTAATCATTAATATAAAGATATAAAGTAGTTTCTTAAATTAGCATGCGTTTCATGTTTTCTACACCTTTTTTAGTTTTACTAATACCTTACATTGAAAAATAAAGAAAAACGTTCAAATTGAGAAATTAATTATTTTTAAATTTAATATGAAAAAAATTAATATTCGAGATAAAAAATATATAAAAATTAAAATAATTAAAATTGAGGCTTGAGAGTTTTAAAAATTTATATAGATGAACTTGACGATAATTTGATAGAATAACATTGAAAAATAAATTACTAATAATTGAAAATATAAAATATAAAAAGTATGAAACGAAACAAAATAATCTAATTTAAAGAGAAGAAAAAATCAACAAGAATATTCATTAAAAAGGTAATAACAATTTTTAATATAATTTGTGAAAAAGAGCTAAACGAATCTTCGCGAACATAGATTGCAACTACTAAACGAGAATGACGCAATAATGGTGGTGTGGGCCATTGCAACCTAACGAGGTCAACTTCTCGACGACCCAATATGTGACATTCAAGGATTGGGTTCACCGCTTTCAGGCCCACTACACCATGCGTAAAAATATTTGGTGGGCCGGTTTCAGCCCACTACACCACATGCGTAAAAAATATCTCTATTGATATAATTCTTAATATTCATATTAATGTTGGGGTTAAATAATTAAGTTTTTATATATCTAAAATTGATTCAAATTAAAATTGGTATATGATTTTGAGTGTTAGTAAACTGTAAATATTAACTATGCAACATTGATTTATTTTTTTTGGAGGTTGAATGTTGAAGTTATAAAACATTTTCTTGCACTAAAATGCATATAATTCTTCAAAAACTGTCCCCACTTATTTTGACATTATATTTCAATTTGGAAGGAAAACTGAATGCCACCTAATATGCCAAATTTTTCAACAAAAATGGCTAATCATCAAAGTTTCTATGTCTTTTGCTGAAAACGTTATAACAAAATAAGATGAATGCTGAAAAAAATGATAACTCTTTAGATGAGAAACAATTTATCTAAATTATTTTAATAATTGTTTTTACATTTATTTTAATTATAAAAGAAAGGGACAAGTTTATAACAATAGACAAAAAGAAGTTGCACGCAAGGTTTTGAAATTGACCAAGTTTTTAAAGCATAGTGGATAATTCTTGATGTATAACTTTCTTTTATTATTTTGATACTAGTGAATTCAAATCTACCGTACAGAACTTTAAATTCTACGTCTTAAATCCTAAAATTCTAAACCTTAAACTCATCGAAAATCAACATTATAATCCGTAATTTTGTCTTTGATTTTGGTGTATTTATTAAGCCACCAAGCACAAAACAGTGAAATATATTGAAAATTTAAGTATAAATTGAAATTTTATATGTAAAAATAGAAAAATTGAATAATTTATAAATAAAAAATATTTAAAATATAATATTTTCAAGTTTTAGGTTCAAAATAATATTATATTTTTTTAATATGACTAATCTGATCATCTGTAGAAATATTCATTAATCTAACCCCAAAAATTGGTTTTAGAAAAAAGTTAACTCTTTTTTTTTTTTAAGAAAACAACTTGTTATATTATGTAAATATTCAAATTACTTTATGCATATTTCTACAATTTTTCAAAATTAATTTCAATAGTAATTAACTATATGAGAAATATGCTCTAGTAATCTTATTTGGTAGAAAAAACATACTATTTGAAAGAAAGTGAAAAGAAAATAAAAAAGACTTATAAAAATAATTCAAATTTTCTTTTCCTTTTTCTTTTTCTTGTTGGTTTAGAAAAGAAAAATAAATTGAATAAAATAAATAATAAGTAAAATACTTTTTTCTTTGTATCTAAGATTATATGTATATTTTACGAAAAACATTTATTATTTAGTGGTAAGAGCATTTTCAATAAAGAATGCTTAGAAATTTTTTAAAGATATTTACAACAATTCTTGTATTAGATTGAATGACCTGACATGAATAGTTGTTTTAAATTTAAAAAAAGTTACTTAGTAACGAAACTCAAAATTAATTCAGCATCAATTTAAAATTCATTTGAACATCAACCCAAAACATTATTCGGATTCATATCTTATTAACAAAAAATTACAAAATTATCAACTATCAACAACAATCATCACCGATAAGCAATAATCTAATTCACAATTAAAAGTAAAATCTTATAAAATTTCAATAGAAATCGCATCATTATATACAACAACGAATGTGGCAGAAGTAAACATAATAAAAGTAACGATATCGGATGCGGTGGGCACGACACAACGATGACAGTGAACACATATACAGTGACAACATCAACAAATGCAGACATAGTGAAAGCGACAACAAAGACAAACATAATGACAATGGTAGCAAAATTAGTGATAGTGGATGCAGTGAGTAGTAGAGTGGTGTAAGAGAAAAGGAGATGAATGGAATAGGGGAAGGGAAAAAGGGAAGAAAGGAAAAGGAAGGGGAAATAGCAAAGGGAGAATTGGAATAGGACATGAGAGGGGAAGAATGAAGGAGCTAGAAAAATTGTACAGTAGGATCATGAATAAAATAAATAAATTTGACAATTAGATTATGATCCTTTTTAATCGTTGAGAGTTGTATGTAGCTTTGAGTTGAGTAGTCATCAAGTAATAAAAGTATTGATCGATTACTATAAATGAGTATTTAATGAGGCCTAACAACAAAGACATTGATAGATTATTATAAATATAATGACATTTAACTTTTTAGGTATGTTAAGATCAATTCATTACGTACATTGAGAATGATTTTTTTTTTCAATTGCATGAAAATGTTAATTTTGTCAAGGTAATCATGTTAATCCAACAATTATTCTTGAAGTTGTGACATCACAAGACTTGTGAGAGGATCAACTATTTTTTGATATCGTAGGATCAATTATTTTTTAGCCACATTTGTGAAAACTATTTTAATGTCGCAAAGAAAAAAGAGAAAATTATTTGCTTAATATGCATTTAGTATCCTCCAATCTCAATTTGCAATTATACATTAGGTGACATATTTTTGGAATGCTTACACATGGAAGAACATAATTTATGTATATATCATATTATACAATATGATTATTAAGGTGAACGATACATTTATCAAAATCATATTGATTATTATATTGAAGAAAATGACATGTCAATTATTGATATATCTTTAAATTATATCTTTAAATTCTCATCCCAATTTTAGTTCTACGTACTTTTAAAAGAGAGAACAATTTAAGATAAAATCACTCACCACCAGACCTCAAACATATTTGACGAAAACTCGAGGAAGAAAATGATGAAAATTAATTTTATATAGTATATATTTTAGTATTATTTGATTTTTGTTATATTTATTTAAATATTATATATTTGATATTATTTTTAAATTAAAAAAGAATGATGTGTTATTAACTAAAATAATTAATTTTAAATAAAAAATTAATTAATTATTTAATGAATATATTAATTTAATTTGTATACAAAATATTATTTAATTAAATTTTAATTAATAAATATTATAATATATTAATCTAAATAAAAAATATATAACATAATAAATTGAGTTAGTTAATATTAAATTAGATGAAAGTTTAATGATGACATGGTATATTATGAGAGTCTTATTTCTTGAAAAGGGAAATAACTGAGGTGAATTGTTTTTATTGGTGATACTAGGATTTTTTATGTTTTGTTATTATTTAATAAGAAATAAATTACAGTAAAAAAAATTTGTTATTTGATTGGGCAGAAAAAAAAGAAGAGAATTATGTATATAAGATGCATACAAATTATTCTTAATAAAAAATTTGAATAATTTTTGTTAAATTTTTTTAAATTACATCTACGTATGTGTACATGGCCCATGGCTGTTATCAAATAAAAATTCTAAATAATTATTTTTATAAAAAACATATATAATAAAATTACTTACTAGCTCATAAAAAATATATAAATGTAACATGAATGAAAAAGTAGTATTATTTAAATTAATTAATAATATTAACAGTAATGATAATAATATAAAAACACTTATTATTTAAATCACACCATATTCTTTCATAAACACCCTGTATTCATGAGAAAATTTAAAGAAAAAGTAAATAACCATTATGATTTTCATCAATTCAACAGAAATATATAATTACTACAATAATAATAATAATAATATAATAATAATAATAATAATAATAAATAAATAGAAAATAGAAACAACAGTAATGAAAAGCAAAAATGAAATATTTCCCATAGCAGTGTGCACCTACATAATACTTGTCTTTGTCCTTCCAATCAAAACAATGCCACAACAGTTTACGTTATGCACCTAACAACACATAAGTTGGTTCAAGTATCAACATATGTGGTGCATTTTTGTGTTCTGTTTTGGAGACATGTTTTTGTCAGAATATTTCCCTTTTATAATAATAATAATAATAATAATAATAATAATATATAATATTATTATTATTATTATTATTATTATTATTATTATTATTATTATTATTATTGTCACAATTATAACAACTATAATTGAAGCATGTAAAACTGAAGGTGATGTGATATTTTAACATCAGATGGAAGCTGGAACTACTTTAGTGCAGGAATATTTGTGAGTGTTGCAATTTTGTAACCCAAAATGGAAAAACTTGCAGTTTTGTAACCCAAAAAAAAGAAAATTTTGCAGTTTAGTTTAATTTTTCCACGTTTTGCAGGTGTTATGGGGGTTGCCAAAGATAATGAACACCATCAATAGAAGACTAAATTTAATGCAAAATATTGATATCATGACAGAGAAAATGATGATATAACTAACTATAATGTATAGGTTCATTGTCTAAGCTGTTCTTTTCTAAAGAGCCAGTCAACATCTGATTTTCTGACGACTTTCACACGAGTTTTACAACCAAATACCATAACATCATAGTTACATATCAAGTACGAGGATCATATCTTAAGAAAATGGGAGGAAAGGAAACTACTTGATATTTTTCTTACATGTTCTTTATAATGGTGATTACTCCAACCGATGGAAGCAAAATGACTAAGGATTAGCATCAGGTGTTAATCAGTTAGTGTCCAACGCCAAGGCTTGGAACAATTTGTTTGAGCTGTCTTGGAATTGGGGCATGCTGAGTCTCAGATTTATGGCCTTTTCCACCATGGCTGGGCCCTGAATGCAGCATTGCCATCGTTTTCTGGGCAGTTTTATCTAACTTCCTAACCTCAAGTGTCCGAGCTGCAATGCAAGAAAGCAACTGAAGATGAAAGAATAAAAGTAGAAGAAGAGTAGAAACATAAAAAGGCGTCATTTTCCTATCCATTGAAGAGGACCACTATTTTGGATCATCCAAGGATATACAATGAGGCTTGATATATAGTTTACAATAGTTTGGACCTATGACAATCCATTTTATAGGAAGAGATTAATTGGACATAGGAGAAAAAAGTGTGCTTCCGGGGTTGAACAAGTTGGATGATATGCCAAAGAATGAAAATGATTGGCTTTGAAAATGACGCGTTGAACTCAAACTGTTATCTCTACATTGAATTTCATGCACGTGAAATTTTGTGATTTCTATAGCTTAGTTTGGCCAGTTAGGTGTGTAGATGTGAGGGTCATGAGCATATTATATAAGGATTTCAACATCAGATTGAATGTGGTTGACAATCTATAGGGCGTATCAAATTTAACCAGCTAGCTAAGAATGTGTGGTTCGACCAGGCTTCAATGCCAGTGCGTCTTGTGTTGTAAAATTTTCAACTCAAAGTCGCATTTACTTCTTCCTCACGCTAAATAAACAATAGAGTATTGTTTTTCTACCTGTCTAAATCTCTTCACCCAATGCCCAAGACTAGCTTTGATATTCTTGAATTGGTTTCATGGTAAACCTTCTTCATCCTTGAAAGCCTTTTGGAACATTAATTTAATCCTCAAATGTTAAGTTAATCCCATTCAGAGAAAAAAAAAAACTTTGTTGTTGGCATAAATGTAAATATTATCATTTGACCCCTTATACTATAAAACATTTTTTTTAATAAATAAATGATTCCCATATATCATTTAATCTAAATTAAGAAACAAAATAATAGAAAACAAAAAAATGACTAATATATCTTATATAAGAATGTAGTATACATCTAAACACTATTTAGAGGAACAACTTTTCTTTGAAAGATATTATCGGTCAACTAATCAACGTTGGATCCAATTTGGTTTGTTTTGGAGTAAACTAGTGTAGTTGCAGACATGTTTCTCATCATTCTACCAATTCATTTGCGACAAAAATTCAGTTTCGATTTTACTGTTGAAAGTAAAAGAACAAGTTTACTTTTCTCTTTAGTGATGGATGAAACTTGGAAGCAATTACTTAGGATTGTGACTATCATCGTAAATTAGAGAGACACTTCACTTCATGAAGAAAAAACGATAAGAACGAATATCCATTTACCTGATTTAGTTATGTACCAGAGTTTGTTTGAGTTCAAAATTAGGTTGTAGTGATAACAAGATGAAATGTGACATTGATATTTGTATAAGAGGAAATGGTGACATTGACCAGCACAAAATAGATTAAATGTATGGGTATGGACATCTTTTAATAAAAATAAGTTTGAGATTGAAATGGTTACTTTGGTGTGGAAGACAAGAAAAGTGGTACATTGCAATTGCCATCACTCTCTTCCTTTTGGTGGATGAGTGAGTTGGAGATAATGCAGAAACATATTTAGAATGTAAATAGTTATGGCAAGTATAGTTAGGCAAGTACGCACTTGGACCTCAAAATGGTGTTTATTATTGGTTCACTTACAAGTACATTTTTGACCTTTGAAACCCAGTAAGGTGAGATTCATCTCTTAAAAAGTCTTTTTTTTTTTTTTTCACTTCACTCTTTTAATTTCTGTCTAAAACAGAGGTGTCACAATTTTTATTCAGAAGTACACCGAAATCCCAACATCAGTTTCCAAACATGGCAAAATGTTGACAGGGCACATTTCTATCTGGAGGAAAAGAAATAGGACCAAATATTGGCATCTGTCTAGTTTTTGAACAGTTTTATAAATTTGATTGGACATTGAGATAGTGTATGAATAACCACAGTTGTTGAAAAGTTATAAACAGTATCATTTTGGTGTTTCAACAGTGTATGTTCCTTTTTTAATTGAAAGTTGGTGAAAGAAACTGTTCTACTGCACTGCCCTGTCAACACTTTGCCAATGACAGTGGCCATCCAGGATTTCGTTTATTTTAGAAATTCATTTCCTCCAGACATTAAGACTGACAAAAACAATTAAAAGTTCGAAATTAAAAAGTTTGTATAGATTTTGTAAATTTGTATTTTCTGGTAGCAAATATTTGACATTCTTTCATAGGTTCGTGGGTCTTTGCAGTCGTAGACTTTTGGGCAAAGTGCCAGGTGTGATGAACATACACAACAAGAGTCAAGAAGTGGCTACCACCACATGTTTGGTGTGATGTTTCATTTAGAAAATGCTCCTCTCTCTCTCTCTCTCTCTCTCTCTCTCTCTCTCTCTCTCTCTCTCTCTCTCTCTCTCTCTCTCTCTCTGTATCTATTGTAGCAGAAAAATGTACCTTTGTTCACACCTATCTCAACATTCTTCTTATGATGAACTCAATGATCAAATATAAATAGATGAGGTCAGAATTCCTGTGCACCCGAGTGTTCAGAATTGGCAAATACAATCACAATACTATTACTGACAACAAAAGGAAGATAAACGTGCATTGATTTCCAAAATTGAATCATTGAAAGCGGTGATCTGTCAAGAGTCACTTGCATACAGAACACCTAGACCGATGGCTTCTTCCTTTCATTTTTTAGGTCAATTGGGTTTGCTTGCATCAACTAAATGAATGTAACCCTTTTACTCTATCTTTCATAGTCAAAATAAAATGAAGATGAATATGATATTTCAAAGGTAAGTTCTTTAGAAAAAAACTAAATATTTTAAGCATGCCCTAAGATAAGAAGATAAACTTGGTGGTACAATATTCTCAAAAATTAAAACTATTTCCACACACATCATACTAATGGATTAAAAGCTAACTGTAAAACTTATCCTATCCATTGAGTTAGACATTCATAGTTAATTAAACTGGCCGGTTTTATCGTCCAGGACTCTCTCACTAGCCTCTTCTGAAGTTAGGTTCAGAGCCATCTAATCCCCTTTTGCTAAACTTATATTCGATTCTTCCAAGGTCAAATGAAACAATATCTTGATGTATAGAAACATAAATTTAGCTCTTTATTGGAATTCTCTGATAGGAATTTCAATCTCCTCTGCAGGCTGCATATGTTACAAATTAATTTGAACTCTGATCAAAGACATCATTTTCATTCAGCCAAACCTTTTTCTTTTCTACCATCACTTTCAACCATTTTATTTTTCAAATGAACCTACCTTGTGGCAAAGGTATTAATGAACTAGATCTGGCAGTGAAGTCCCCCCATTCATACATAGCAGTAGCAGACATTCTTTCCCTATAAATAGGACCTTCCATGTTGCCACTTCAGCAGTACAAATCAAAAACTAAAATACCCCTTTAAGAGTATCATCATATCATACCATATCACCAAATAAACCTTGAACTTCATTCAACATGGACACAAGAATCAAGTCTGTTTCCTTCCTCATTCTTGTTCTTGTTGCTTCCTTGTGTACCTCTTTGCTTCCTCTATCAGAAGCCAGACCACTGTCTATTTATTCACCAAGCAAAGACGGTGCTATCAGAGAGGTGAATGGAGTCTTCAGAACATTGAAGAGCTCTGGTCCAAGCCCTGGTATTGGACACAAACTTAACAAGCTTCAAAATCTTGGAGGGATGAAAGACTCTGGTCCTACTCCAGGTCAAGGACACTAGCACATCAACAACTCTCAGAAGGCGCCAATTCTTTGCATTTCTTTGCATATTACGCTACTATTGCTATTCTTATTTTACAAGTACTGCTGTCAAGAATCAGGTGCATGTAGTAGTTGCACTAAACTTGTTGCTAATTGTAGTGCGTGCTGCATTTTAGCATGGGTTTTATTTTACCCTGGTAGATTTTTTGTTTTCTGGTTAATGCTATAGAAAAGAGATTCAGAACATCGTGGAAATATTAAGAACTTAGTGGAGCTGCACTGTAACATTTGTTTAGTATAATTTGCAATACTATTAGTTCCCTCATCTGGAGAAGGATCAGTCCCAAAAAAGCCATGGCGAGGAAAATTTTTATATGTAACGACAGTTAAGTTAATTATGAAATTGATTCAAAGATTTTCTATTAATCTATTAAATAAAATTAAAATACTAAATCTCATACCCAGGAAAAGTTTATTATTATTATTATTTCATTGTTTAGTGTGCGAGTCTCTCTCTATATATCGCAAATGCTCTGCTTCTACGAAGAAATGAAAACAAAATAGGTCAACGTTGGGTGAGCAAATCCACAGAAAATCTGGAAAAATTTTCAAACTGACGGTAAACACGCGGAAGAACAAATGTGAGAACACGAGTTCACATGGCGTAGACAACAATATTCTCCTGCCACACACCTAATGGGCCTGTGTCGACGACCCAACACTTAATGGGCCAGTTTCTTTCCATCTTCGTCTAATGGGTTAGTGGAGAAAAACAGATTTCATATAACTCTTGACCTAGTTATTAAATTTATGGATCTGAATTTAACGAGCGTCTGAAAAAAAAAAAAAAGATTTTAATCATCTTGGTGGCAGTAAAATGTGATAATCATTTGATTATAAAATTTGATAAATTTACAATTAAAAGATCTGAAAACTTGATGTAAAAACTACTAATTAATATTATATTATGTACCTACCCAGCCCAATTTCTTTATAAATTTTACCTAAGCCCTCAATTTTTACATAAACTGATAGTATGAATCAATAGTAAGTTTTTAGTTTAGAATCACCGTAAGTAAAATTTTTTTATTAATATATAAATTATATTTAAAAAATTGAGATAAATAATATAAAACTCCTTCTAATACTAAAAAAATAAAATAGACAATATCTTAGACTATTTTAAAAGCAATTAATGATAAATAAAATTATCTTTAACGTATATAAAAATCACACCCTAAAAAAACTGTTTCGGATAAATTGAGGGAAGTGACTTGCTAAGATACTTAAATGAAAAAAAAATGTTTCATGTTTTTTTTTTATGTTTGTTATTATAATATTACTAAGATATACGAGTGATAGAGTTTTAGAACTAAAAATTATATTATTAATAATTAATAAATATATAAAAAAATAAAAGAATATAAAAAAAAGAGATTAAAATTATAAACATATAAACTATAAACAAGTATATTTAATTATGATTAAGTTTAGGAGAGATGAAAATTATAAATAAATACATTAATTACAAAACTTTAAGGTTGATTATCCATAATTAGATCTATTATTCTTAGTAAGGTATTATTTATTTTAAATTTTTAATTCTCGTAATTTTGTTTTTAAAAAATATTTAATAAATTAAATATATATATATATATATATATGAATTATTTTTTATTTTAATTTTTAAATAATATGAAATTGATAAACGTGCTGAAATATAAATATAATACAAATATAAATTTATAAATTTTCTTTATAAAATTAAATTACATCAAAATTGAATTTCTTAAATACAACTCATTTATCTTACATTAAAGTATACACTCTTGATTCATTATCTGAATTTTATTAGGATTTTTATGAAAAGAAATAAAGAGAATTTTATACAATCTTGTTATTTTTTTTCTAATGTTATTTATTAGTTGATACTACATACTCTTCTTTTTATATCTTTATCCTTTTTACTAAATGATTTCACTTAAAAATAGAATGCTTAGTGATCTTTTTGTTTTACTTCTTTCTAAATTCTATCACTTATTACATTTATAAGTTTTTTTGTTTCCTATACTGTCTTCCACTGAAGGTAACCTCAAAGTGTGGTGAATAAATAATGTTATTTTTCCTTCAAAATCCAAAAATAATAAGGAAATAGTGTTCCATACGTGCACTCCAAATTGCATATACAAAATGGAAATTTGGGGACTCATGGCAAATGGAGTAAGGTTTTGAACTTAAGGTAGGATGAAAGTGAAAGTGAAGTTGAATGGAATAGAAGAGAAAAAAAAAATGAAGAAGAAAGTACGTGGTTACTTCCATTTCCATAAAAGAACATTAGATTAGACAAAATAAAATGGGTTCTCCACCATTCAGCAAAACAAGTTGTTTCCCCTGAAACTCAATTTCATGGATGAGGTTTCGTGTTGCAGTTGTAGTTTGACTAAAAGCCAAAAGGAATAATAAATTCATCATTCTACGTAATTTACTTTTTGCACTTGAAATTAGTCAAAGTGCCAAATGTTTTGGAGGCATTGCTAATAGCAGTCAATGCATGCTTCCTACACATCTCAACAGTGAACACACAGAGTTGAATGCAAAAAGTATAAGAATATACAACGAATTAAGACTTGATAAAATCCCCACCATGTGCTTTTACTATTTCTCATCTCAAAATGGGTGGCTCAGTACAAAAAATTTAATGATTCAGTTTCGAAGGGGCAAAACATTTTGTCTTATGATAAATCAACTTACTATCCAACCATTTTTTTTATTAATTAAAAAAAATTACTTATATAATATTGTTTTTTAATTTTGTTTGTTAAGAATAAGATGTCATTTATTTCTTCATTTAAAATTATCATATAAAATTATAAAATATTCACTTCATCGTTGATAACAAAAATAAATAAATAATATTAAATAATTAAAGATTGTATGATATAAAAATTATAAAATATTGAATTTTATATGAATAGTCTAATTTGATCGTAATCATATAACTAACTAAGAGAACAAATTAAGAGTTTGTACATTTTTTAAGTAAATAATTTATCTAAATAAGATTCTCAAACTTTCGTTCCAAGTGAAATGGTTAACGTGTAAAAAGATTAACAAAATAAGAAAAATATTTAAAATGTCACACAATCAATAAAATATTTGAAAGGTCACTGAATCAACAAAATGAGTAAAATGTTTAAAATGTCGTAAAATCATTAAAATAAGTGATAAGTGATTATAGTAATGAAACCTTCAAAAGTTAATACATCTTATAAACTTTTTTTAATTAAATTGTTTATAATAATTGATTTAAAATTAGGATTCTACTCTATCATACTCAATATAATTAAATGGAAGATTATATCTAATGCATATAATAAATTAATCTTTCTAAATTATATATATATATATATATATAATATAAAATATATTATTAAATTAATTTATTATACATATATTTTACAATAAAATAAAATTACTTTTATTTTATTTTAAAAATTATTATTATTTTATAAAATAGGTCCGTCTTACGGACTATCTGATCAAGATTAACCTAATTCTATTTAAGTCATAAATTTTTTGGTTAGTTTGATCTATTTTTGAGATCTTTTGAATTAATTATATATAAATTAAAATTTACTTTGTTTGGTGAAAGATATGATAATAGAAAAATTATATATAAGTCAAAATTTACTTTATTTGGTGAAATATATAATAATAGAAAAAGAAAAACGACCTAGTTCATGTTACCGGAACTAAAAGGTGTTTGGTGCATTAGTCTTCCTCCTCCATCATGACTTCATTCACAAATGTGGAATTGATTCATCCTTTTACTTGCATTCACAAGTTTTGTTCCTTCCACACTTATTATATGAATTCCAATGGCATAGTCTCAACTTTAATTCCAAATTACCTTTTTCAAATTCTCGGATAATAGAAGCAACAATTTCCTTAAATTTCCGTTTATAACTTTTGTTGAGTTGATTGGCGTTGTTACAAAAAATTCATGATATATCTAAGTTTTAAAAATATTAATTTTATAACGTTTTATTATTTGGAGAACAAAATAAATTATTTGTTTAGTAAATTAAAAAATAATTTACATGCATGTTAATTTATATATAAAAAAAAATCATTTAACTTCTTCAATACATATAAAACTTAATTTAAAATATGAACTAAAAACTTAATTAATTCATTTTTTCTATAACATGGTCAAATTAGAGTTTTTTTACTCTCTGGTTCTTTCTCACGGAGTATTTGGGTAAAGGAAGATGTGAGGGACTATAGTTTATGGAAATCATGATATTACATTATCAATGAACAGTGTATTTTTGAGACAGTATAAAAAGAAGTGCACCATGGTACTCCATTCACAATAAACACCTAATACACCTACAAAAGCCTCGTTCATGTGCTAGATATCATGACTGGAAAACTCCAATTCTTGTCCTTCATTGTTATTATTGTGTGGTGCTCTTCCTGGTTGAACATCCAACATGCGATCGCACGACCACTTAACACTCTACTGCTGCATGGAGATGCTGATCAAGAACCAAGGAGAACCACTTTGGAGTTGTCACACACAGTTCTGAGAAGCTTCAGTGTGGGAGATAAAGAGAAGGACATAGTAATTGACAACAGTGGTCCAAGCCCCAAGGGACCAGGGCATGATGAGGCACTACCTTTCTTCTACTCTCAACCCAACAATTAAGAGCTTCATTAACTAAGAAAATTACCACTCATGTGATTTCAAACACTTGGCTCTTGTGCCAAATGCGTCTCTCTCATTCTCATGGTCTCTGTTTCTAGCTTTTTATGAATTATACAGAAACTCCTTTTTATCATATGTGATACTGTTCAGATCATATACACAATTAATGAAATCTGTGATGGAATTTATCTATCTATAATATAAAAGTTTCATTAGAAGTTCGTACTTGCATTTTTGTTTTGAATTCTTCCAATTTATTCATTTATTTTTATTAATATGTTTCTATAATACATGTTAATTAAGGGAGAAAATTTAGCTTACAAACTCCACTAGAGGATATTTTAAGTAAAAAATGTTGATTATTCTTTTCACACTTTTTTTCCTTTCCCAATTAGAACATTTGAGAAGAGAGAAAACTAATACGTTTTTTCTCAACTATTCCTCACACTCCTCTGGATCAATAATTTGGGAAGAAGAAAGTTTTGGTTGTTCACTCCAACACTTTTCGCTTCCCAATTGGCACAATTCATCTACAAGCAAAATTTCAGAACAATATTCAAGCAACAATAGAACAAAATATCATAACAATATTCAAATAACAAGGGAGAGCAAGATTCAATAATCAAAATTTCAACTTTATAAATTTAGAGCAAAATGCAAGTATAAAATTCCAGCATTAGAATCCAATATGAAATTCAAAAAAAAAAAAAAAAAAAAAAAAGGGTTTTGTGCATATTGTCTAAGAAACAATTTACAAACAAGTATCATGTTATATTGTACATCAGGAGATGATAAATGAGCTGGTCTCTCTAATGGAAGAAGCCAAATCAATTGATGTGTACAGTGTATTCAAAATCATCCTCCTTTTGTGTTTTATTTTTTACTTCTATACCGTACAAAAGCTAAGAACACAAACAAAAAATTCAACATTGATGATAAAAGTTAATCACGACCAAAATTCAACAAAAATTACATTAATCAAAATTCAACCAAGAAAGAAAATGATATCCCCAGATTCACAATCACCACTTTAAATTATGTTTACTTGTGATGTGTTCTTTCAATGTTTACACGATATTTAGAGCATTAATTAACCTTTGCATGGATACATAATTCTACTGTTTACACAAGAAAGAAAGCCATTCATGCAGGCTGCTCCCAATCTGGTGGCTATCGTATGACAGAAAAAAACGACTTTCTTTAGTCTTCCTTCTGCATGATGCCTTCATTACATGCATGAATGTGTTCGTCCATTTAACTTGCATTTTAATTAATTTTTCAAAATAAAACATATATATAATTGGGTCTAATTCAATTATACGAAACTGGTTTATACAATAAAATATCTTTAATTAATATGAATTTTGTATTTTTTTTCTAATATTTATCTTAGGTCCAACATTATTAAATTTGGTATGTGAATGGAATAGTAAATTTAAAATGGTTTTGACATTACAAAAGTAATTTATAAATTATCCTCACTTATATATGATATTTTAATAATAGTTTTAACCAATATAATACTTTTTTTTAATACACCATACTTAGACACAGCTAGAAGTAATAATTTCCTTGATTTTTCAATTGTAAGCTGTTATTTTCATTTATCAAATTTGTAAATATTTGTTATTTATAACTTACTCAACTTATAATTTTTATTAATGTAAAGATTTATATTAATATTTTGTTTTACCAATAGTAAATTTTGAAAATAAAGATATTTAACTATATTTATGTTATCTAAATTTTTATGTGTTTTATTATTTGCAGAAGAAAACACAAACTAAAATTATTTTTTTATAAATTATTTTATAAAATTTCTCTAAATTTAGTTTTTCTAAATATATACACTAATTTTAGTTATAAAAAAAAAACATTTTACTTTTTTATTTTTTTTTCTAACGTGATCTAATTTTTTAGTTTTATGTTTTTCTCTTTGTCTGATACATTGAATGGAGTTTAGCACTTGAAGGGAATATGTAAGGGGAATAGAAGATGGAACCACTTGTAGTTTATGGCCATCACATGATACTATGTTATCAATGAACAGTGCACTGGAAGAAACACTATAAAACGAAGTGCAGAATGGTACTCTATTCACACATTAACAGAATTATAACACCTAAAACCCTAATAATATCATTCATTTGCTCGATATCTACCTCCTATCATGGCTGGAAAACTCCAATTCTTAGCCTTCATTGTTTCTATTCTCTCGTTCTCTTCCTGGCTGAACATCCAACATGTGATGGCACGACCACTTAACCCTCTGTGTGGAGATGCTGTTGAAGAACCTAGAAGAACCATTTTGGAGCTGTCACACACAGTTGTGAAAAGCTCGAATGTGGGTGATGGACAGAAGAATAGCATTCGCAAACTCTTAATCGATAACAGTGGTCCAAGCCCTCATGGACCAGGGCACCCTGCAGCTGCAGGGGCACACCCTGCATACTCTGAACCCAACAATTAGAGCTTCAGAACAAAGACAATTACCACTCGTCACACTTTTCCTTTCAAGTTTTATGCAGTTTGAAATAAGAAGCTCTGACCTAGAATTCTCTCACTGTCACTGCCTCTGATGTTTCTTTTTCTTTTCAATTTACTTTTCTTATATATAGTTAATGAAATCTTGTTGAGATCCTATACACAAATAATCAAATCTGTTTTGATATTCTTTTTATTAATTTTGATGTGATTTATCTATTTATATATATATATATATATATATATATATATATATATATATATATATATATATATATATATATATATATATATATATATATGTGTGTGTGTGTGTGTGTGTACCAGGTATATTAAATGATAATAACTATTAGCCTACAAGATTATTTTTAATAAAAATCATTAATGTATTACTTATATAGTCAGGTTTTTAAATTCTTACATTCTTAAAATAATAATTATTTCCACTTCATATATACTTATAGTAATTTTTTATTTATTTCATAAACATTATAACCTTACAAGTTCTAAAAAATGAATATTTGAATAATATTCATCAAATTCTAAAAAATTATGAAAAATTAAAGGAGTTGAAATAAATAATTAGAATAATTAAAAATTAAGAATATCAACTTTAGTAAATCAAATATTTAAATCACATTGAAAACTTTGTTCTATTATATGAACGTATATTGTGCTTCGATAATGAGAAAATGTTTTAAATTTAATATTTTTACAAATTAATAGGTAACTATTGTGCTATTGTTTTTTAATGTTATATAGGTGCACTGGAGAAAAATTAGGAGAGAAGATGCATATACATTAAACACATTTGAATTAATCTATATTGATTATCTAAAAAATTATAACAAATGTGAAACATTGACATTGACATTGACAAAGTGGCTTTTCTACTACTATATAATAGTGTTTGAATTTGAATTTTTAAACTTTACCACTTTTATAACTTGTCCATTCTAATGGGTATTTTTTTCTTTCTTTTTTTCAGTCATCTTTTTTGGCTGCTGTGGAAGATACTAGACAAAACAAAATGGGTGGGAAATGGAAAAGTTGGCTACACAGGAAATAGTAGTTGAAAGCAACAATCTAGAAGAACCACAATATAATTGCCAACACAAAATGTGTTAGCTTCTCTCCATTTTCCTTCACAAAATTGCGCAAGTATCTAAGGAAACACCATGAATTGAATGCATGCTTTACCAGGAAAATCGTGCATGAATGGCGACTCATGCAAAGTCTCCTTCCTGCGACTTCAGATTGGTTATCCACCAAACCGGTGGCTTGTATGATGAAAGGAAGAATGAACAAGTTGCTGGAAAAGGTGTACAATATACACTGCATCTAGTTACATTATTGAATCTCCGTTCATCTTACAAGTCCAAATAATATGTTATTAATAAATAATAAATAAATATAAAAAAAAGAAAATAAAAGGATGAATGTGATAAATTATTAATATATATTTAAATATATTAAATGATCATTAAATGTAATAGAGGATAAAATCATATCAGTTATAAAAAAAATTAAAAACATAAAATTATAAATATACAAATAAATATATTAAATATTAATTAAATTTAGAAAATTAAAATTATAAATTATATAAAAATTACAAAAATTTCAGAAATGATTACCTTCCACTTCCAAGAAGATGAGTTAATGTATAGCTATATCCTCGAGAGAATTCATTGACCTCCTTCTTTAACGTGAAACTTGTTCATCCTTTTCAACATTTGATCAGTTTCCCTCAATTTGAAACTCAATTTGAGTTTGAACAATTCTGTTTTTCTGATGCTTAGTGTGAATGCTAGTCACTGTCAACATAATGGTGTTTGATTCATAAGTCTTAACCGTGTCGTTGAAAAATTTAAGCACGAGGTAAAGTTTCACCCTAGGCAAAAATTAAAAAAAATGAATAATTTATATCTAAATATTAATGTTTAATAGAACATTTAAAAATATTTGTTGTTATAATTAACGAACTACATACTCAATAATTAGTTAATATGGTTTTAAATTTGGAGGCTTGTTCATAATGCACATTTATATATAGTTTAAAGAGTCAATGGAAAGTTGTAATTATTATTGTAATTGATGTATTTGTTTTAGCACGAAATTATTTAATGCTAATAAAGTTTAATTGTTAAAATGTCTTTCAAGATATGTATTTAATATAAAAATTGTTAGCACAAGTGGTTAGTTAGGCACTTGAGCTTCTTAATCAAAGCCTGAGATTCATCCTATGTGTTACTATTTACAATTAAAAATACCAATTCACTAAAATGTATAAACTTAATTGATGACATATTTAAGATGCATTAAATATGTAATATTTTAATACTAATAAAATAAAATGTTTATACTTTTATTTGAAATATATTATCACTAATTAAATATTCAAGGATGACATAGGAAACCTCAATTCTTTATATATATATATATATATATATATATATATATATATATATATATATATATATATATATATATATATATATATATTATTTTACCAACCCCTCTCTATTAATTTTTACTAAAAACATATATTTACACAATTTTTGTTTGTTGTCCTTGTCCAATAATATTTCGCAACTTATTATTTTTTTCTTTCTTAAGTTTTATGTTAAATAAATATTAGATATGTTATATTCACCGTCTATCTTTTTTTTTTTTCACCGTAATATTTTATTTTTAAGTTTATTTTTATTGGTAAAAGTCTCACATTTTATGTTTTATGTGATATGATTTAAATATTTATTATGTTATTTTACGTATTGTTCGTTGATTTATGTTGAAATTATAATATGATATTAGAGCTAAAGCCTAAGAACATTGTTTCATCGGCAAGCTTTGTTGGAAGTTTTACGTTGTTTGTTTCATGTCACGTGATGTCGATGACGGATTTTCTTAAGAGCTGAAGGGGCTATGCCCCTCCCAAAGTTTTGTAACTCTCATGTAATTTATGATTTTGGTCCCCCCAAACTTAATGAATATTGAATATATTTACTTGTATATTTACAATTTTATCCTCTCAACCTCTCTTAGTTTTGTAACTCTCATATAATTTATGATTTTGTCCCCTCAAACTTAATGATTATTTAATATATTTAAGTATATATCTACAATTTTATCTTTTCATCCTTTTATCTTCTTTCTTCCTTTTATATTTATTTATTAATAATATATTATTTGGTCACCTAAGATCAATGGTCAAGATCCGTCACTGCGTGATGTAATTTAGTTTTATGTTGGAACGATGTCTTATACCAAAAATTGCCCTCAAAATATCATTTGTATGCTACAGTAACCTTTGTTGGAAGTTCAGATTGTCTACCACATTGTTAGACTACTCCACATGCTGTAAAAATTGTCTATAAAATATTATTTGTCTGGTCTGACAAATTTCGTTAAAAATCTCACATCGCTTGTCACATTGTTAGAATACTTTAGATGTTATTGTTGGAAGTCGTATATCACCTATCTTATATAATTTAGTATAATTTAAATATATGTTAGATTATTCCACATATTGTCAATTGATTTTATGTTGGAACCTTAATATGATATCAGAGCTAAAACCTTAACATATTGTCCTTTAAAATAATATTTATTATTTTCTACTTTTTTTTATATTATAAAACGAATTATCCAAATTCAAGCTCATGCATGACCGTTAGTTTTATGTAGGGATGGTAATTAAACCCGCACCTGTGGGGACCGACCCGTCCCTGTCCCGAGTTTGACGAGAAAACCCGAGTTGACCGGAGCAGGGGCAAGTTCGGGTTTTCCCGCTTTAAAAGTCAGGCGGGGCGGGATGGGTAATGCAATTTCCACCCCGACCCCGTCCCCGCCTCGACTTTATATTTAAATTTAAATTTTAAAATATTAATATTTTAAAAGTATTTCCTTTTTTTCTATTACATATAAGGTTATTTTTTTTATATTTCACCAAAAATTTTTTCTTCCACCCACTTTTTAATTTTTTTGTCTTTTTTAATCTTTTATATCAATTAATTTATTACATTATTTTTTCTCTTACCTTTCCGCTTTTCACATTTCCTTAACATCTCCCATCAATTTGTTTTTTTTTTCAACCAATTTGATGAACACAAAGTTAATTTTTTTTATTCTTCATCTTTTTCTAAATATTTTACATAAATCTTAGTAGTAATTAATATTATTTTATTTATAATTTATATTTATTAGGTTTTATTATGTCATATTTTTTTATCTTATTATTCTTATTTATCATATATCAAATTTTATCTTAATAAATTAATTGTATTTTAAAGGATTAAAGGAATTGATAATTTAAATTTTTATTACTTCGAACTAATTAAATAAGAATTAACTTATTAAATATTTCCTTATAAATTATATATTTCATATTTTTAAATGACAACTTAAAAATAAATTAACTTATATATATATAATCAAATGTTTGAATACAGTATTATAATAATAATAATATTATAAATATTCAAATATTTGAATACAAGTGTTATAATAATAATAATATTATTATAAATAAAAAATGATTAAATATTTCTTTTACATACAGATTTTAATATAAATATAATAAATTAAAATGTATATTTAATTAATAATAATTATAAATTATAAATATTTATTTATATATAAAAAATAGATAATAAAATTAATTTATTATAAATATAATTATCTTTTTAAAAATAATATAAACTAGGGACTGGATGGAAATCCGAAACTCAGTGGGGACTGGGATTTAATTTCTAACCCCGCGAGATCGGAGCGTGAACGAAGAAGGTTAAAAAGTCGGGGCGGGATCGGAGAGGTAAAACCCACCCCTGTCCCAGTTTGTTGTCATGCCTAATTTTATGCATACACGAGTGCCGAATTACATATACGACTAGCATTAAATATCCACTCGTTTGACAACTGTATAATAATAAAAAAAATATATATATATAATTTATTATTATATTAATAAATAAAACTATTAGAAAATTGTATTATAACGAAATGGTGGTTCACACTTTTTTTTTATATAATATAAACTAATGTTGTTATATTTATACGTTATGATTTTATATATATATATATATATATATATTATTGCGATAAAATTTTTATTAGAAAAATGTAATTTATATATATTCTTTTTTAAAAAAATTTTAAGGACAAAATATAATAAAACGAACAAGAAACATGAAAATTAACTCTAATGATATTATTATACAAGATATAAGATCAAAATACTCATAGATCGAATAATAATCGTTTTAAAATGATTGTTTTTATAATTGTCGTTAAAATTGAAAAAATTGACAACAGTTTGTACTCATTATTAAAAAAAAATTTAAAATAAACACTACCTCCAATATAAAAATTAACTCTAATAATATTATTATGAGAATATGAGTTCAAGACACAAATATAATTATAAATAAATTATCATGATAATCTTGATCACAAATCTCACCTCACCACAATAGAACCAAAAGGTTTCGTTGTTCTTTTATGCATGATAAATCTCTAACCGAAAATTCTTGATAAGGGGACCAACAGGAGTCACGCGAACCCAAATTTATATATATACATAATAACTATTTAAAAAATTAAATAAAAATATTTTATAAATATAATTTCTTCTTTTTAATCTTCTTTTTTCAATTTTTCATTTACAATAAATATCATATTTATTAGCTTCCATAATTTTTCACTTACACTTTTTCATTTTCTTTTTTCTATTTTTAGATTTTTATCTTTTCTTCTCACATGTTTTCACTTTCCGACTTCAACTTTTATATTTGATGCCCACTTTATTTTTTAACATTTATATTTTTTTCTTTATCATTCATCCATTTTCATATATTTTTTGTTATGAACCTTACATATAATTTCTAAGTTTTTCTCTTTGGATTTCATATTTTTATTTCTTTACAGTTTCATCTTTATAATATCAAAATTATCATTGTTCTTTAGTTGTTATTTTTTTTTCTGTTCAAATAAAGGAAATACCCCATAATAATATTTTTGAAATAAACAAACAGTAAATAATATTTTTTTTTAATTATTATAACAAAT